TTAGCTACTCGAACCTTCACCAGCGCCTGACGCTGTATCCCGGCACCGGCCTCGAGCAATACCACTATGCGAAAGAGCGGATAGCGCGACATACACAGGGCGGGGAAGATGAGCTGGTTATTGCTGTGCCTGAAAAAGTCAAGATTCGGGAAGTGAAGCCTTCGGAGGCTGGTATGACCGACGACGCCCCGGGCACCTTTTATGCACCACTGAAGCTGGAGATTGAATACGAGCTGGACGATTTCCGGGACGCGCTACAATTTGTCGGGCTGGAGGATGGAGATGCACGGTACCCGCATGCCTACACGCGCAACTCGTCCTTTCCTGGTTCAGCATCGTGTCTGTTTCCGTGCATAGACGACGGCGAAACGCGCTGTCTATTCGATGTTTCGATTCGTTACCCACGAACGCTGGGGGATGCGCTTAGCAAAACTTCAGATGCCAATACAAATGCCCAAGCACAAAGAGAGGGTGCTGAAAAGGCTGACAGTGTTATGCTGGACGCGGATGACGACCAAGTGGACTTGTCCGAGGAAGAGAAGGCCATGGAGATGCAAGTCATCTGTTCTGGTACACTGACAGACGATGTGAGTGTTCATGTACAGTACCAGATGTGTCTTTTGCTAACATACAAAGATTCTCGATCCTGCCGACTCTACTCGAAAGACAGCGAGCTTCTCCTGTGATACACTTGTCCTTCCGCAACATATCGGCTTCGTAATCGGCCCCTTCGAACATGTCGATCTCTCAGAGTACCGTGATACACTTGACGACGAGCGCTTGGGAGAAAATGCCATCAAGGTCCATGCCTTCTGTATGCCAGGCAAGGAAAACGAGGTCCGGAACAGCGCCATGATGCTAGCTCGAGCGCTCGACACCTTCACCGAGCGCTTCCAGAGTTATGCATTCGGCAACTCTTACAAGCTAGCATTTGTCGATGATTTGGAGTGGGATACTGCGCATACAGCCTCGTTCTCCATCTGCAGCTCTCGTTTGCTGTTTCCGGAGACGGTATGGGAACCGATGGAACACACAACTAGGGTGCTGGTACATGCGGTTGCCAGCCAATGGATAGGCGTCGATGTTATTGCACACAATCCTGAAGATCATTGGATCATCGTTGGGGGTTCATGGTTCATGGCTGAACTCTATCTCCGAGAGTTGTTCGGTCGCAACGATTGGCGTTTCCGGCAAAAGCTAATGGTTGACAAGGTCATCCAGATGGACCGAAAGCGCCCCTCGCTGCAGCAACTTGGATACATCTTGCAGCTGGATCCGGGTGAGGTTGAGTTTATGGAGCTGAAATCGCTCATGGTACTCTCCATCCTCCACAACCGCCTGGTCAAACAAAGCGGAAAGAACGGTGTTGACAGGTGTTTGTACCGGATGCTGTTCAACGCTCGCCAGGGCAAGTATCCTAATGGCGCGATTGCTTCGGAAGACTTCTTCGACATTTGCGAGAAGGTTGGGCATCAAAAGCTGGAGTCCTTTTTCCAGCAATGGATCGTGGGATCTGGATGTCCGACTTTCCACTGCGTACCTTCATTTAACAAGAAGAAGCAAGTGGTACAGCTTACTATCAAGCAGCTCCAGGCTGATTCATCGATAACAAATATCGAGAACGGCCTCGCCGCGGACGACTTCATGCGCGAAGCAAAGGAGAAGTCTCGGGACTTGCGCTCCGCAACAGGATATCCTACCTTTGTTGGCCCAATGACCATTCGAATTCACGAAGCTGATGGCACACCCTATGAACATATTGTCGATATCAATTCGAACAACGTCAAAGTGGAGATCCCGTACAACACAAAATACAAGCGTCTGAAGAGGAATCGACTGAACAAAGAGCGTATGGCTGCTGCAGCAGGCCTTGATGCCTCAGGTGAAACACAAGAAGACGTCACCTTTTACATGCTCGGAGATCTCTTTACGTCTCCTCAAGAACACAATGAGTGGCGACTAGATGATTGGCCACCGGAAGATGAAGCCAAACAAGAGGGTGAAGCTTACGAGTGGATTCGTATTGATGCAGATTTTGAGTGGATATGTCGGACCAACATCGAGGACATGCCATCATACATGTATGTCTCGCAGCTGCAACAAGATAAGGATGTTGTTGCGCAAGCGGAGTCGATACAGTTCCTCGCCAATAAGGAAGGTCACAAACTAATCTCGACTTTCTTGGTGAAGACCTTGATGGACAATCGATACTTCCACGGCATACGAACCATGGCTGCTATGGTCTTGGCTCAGAGTGCGTTGAAGCGGACCGAGTGGGTTGGTCTCTTCCATCTGAAGAAAGCTTTCCGCGAGCTTTTTTGCTTGCCTAACTCGCCCATGACCCGGTCGAACGACTTTTCTGATCGTAGCATGTACCTGATTCAATGTGCTATACCTAGAGCCATTGCTAAGATCAAGGGCGAGGACGGGAGATCCCCATTAGAGGCAAAGCGCTTTTTGCTCGATCTGGTGCGGTACAACGACAACCGTGGAAACGATTACAGCGACGATCACTACATCTCTACGTTGATGCGGTGTCTTGCGGAGACGCTCACGAAGACCACCGCAAGTTCCGAGCTTAGCCACGAGGAATGGGCTCAAGAGCAGGATTTCACAAGCAAAGCCATCGGGGAGCTTACCCGACATCAGAGGCTTGATGAGTGGATCCCTACCTATCAAAACGTCTACACAACTACGGCTCTCGATTGTGCACTGAAGTTGGTCATGAGCCGCGTTACCCCGTTCAAGCCGACCGAATTTCTCCAGTATGCTCAGCTAGGCAACGCAGACAACGTACGTCTGAAGGCTTGGGAATGCTTGATTCGCCTAGGCATGTTTCGGAAAGACACAATGTTAAGGTTTCTTATGCATGAGATCCGGTCCGATCCCTCGCCGTACTTCAGGAAGCAACTGCTACGGATCTTCGGCATCGCTATCGGACAGGTCGCTACTGGAGATGTTTGGGCACCAGAGAAGACTGTTGAAACCTCAGCAGATACGCTCATGATCGAAGACGAAGCCAGCAATGCTGAACGTGCATCGGCTCTCGCTCGACAGAACCTTAACGGGGCTCTGAGAGGATTGAAGAGCGACTTGCAGGGTAATATCACCCTTCGAATGGTACTGGAGGAAGCCTTGAAGTCAAGAGCACTGTCGACAAGCGACATGTCTGAGCTTTTGGACATTTGCGACATGATCTTTGACAACCAGAAGGTCAACAGGCTGCCGATCAAATTGGCTCTTCCACGCTATTGGAAGGTGGAACATGTTGGAAAGGGACTGTTGCGCTTTAGACACAATAGCAGGTTCCGAGCCGTGAAGATGCCACCTCGGGAGCAAGTGGAGGAAGGTATAAGGAAGATGCGAGAGGCAAAAGCGGGCTTTTCGGCTCTTCCAATACCTCCGCCTCAGCCCCAGCCTCAACCTCTACCTCAACCCCTACCTGTACTTCAGCCCGTGCGAGACGCAACTGCTCCAGCTTCGAAACCGCCAGGATTGCCGAAGCTGTCGCTCAAGATTGGTGGCAAGAAAAAGTCTGCTACATCTCCACCGTCTACGGCTGGAACTCCGCAGACCCATTCGAGGAGTCAATCTGTCGTGTTTTCACCCACCATCTATAATTCGCCATCTCCAGCACCTATGTCAAAGCCAGCATCTCCAGCGCCAGCAGCAAATGAAACAATAGCAGTAGCACCGCGGCCGCCGCCTGCTGCTGCTGCCCCGGCTCAGATAGATTCGCGTTCGTCGACCCCAGAGGTGCCACTGATGCAACCTTCAAAGAAGATAGCAACCCCAGCAGCAACCCCTAAGCCTGCGACTCCAGCACCTGCTCCCGTTCAAGCTCCGAAACCTCCAACTCCGGCACCCTCCGCTCCTGCCCCAGTTATCAAGACTCCAGTTCCACCGCCCAAGGTCCCTACTCCAGCTCCCGCGCCTGCCCAAGCGAAGCCAACTCCGAAGCCTACTCCGAAGCCAACACCGGCGGTCATCAAGGTACCGAAGCCTATGTCGACGACTCCCACCATTCAATCTCCAGTCCCTCTGCCAGCTCCCAAGCTTAAGATCAGGACCAAAACCGCATCTGGCTCCACCGTACCATCAAGACCTTCCAGTGCCGCTCCTTCGCCGCGCCCGAGTGCAGCTCCATCACCTCGACCCAGCAACGTTCCTCCTCCATCACGTCCTGCTGTTTCCACTACATCATCATCTATAGCAAGGCCAGTGATCAAGCAGAAGAGAAGCAAAATCGTCAAGCTACGCCTTCCTCCTAAGCTTCTCTCAGGCTTCACCCCGGGAGAGAGCAAGAAACGCAAACTGATCTCTGGAAACGGAGATGATGATAGACCGTCTAAGCGTCAGAGTCTGGAAACAAGTAGTATGTTGAATGGTAAAGGACCTGGTAAGAGCGGACTCGTTACCGTGGAAAAAGGTAGTAGTGGTAGTGAAAAGCCGAGGTTACTTCTTAAGATGAAGGTGGGAAAGGGCAAGCTGCCTGTTGAGCGGAAGTTGTGAAAGGGAAGCTGACCGAGAGCGGTTTCAGGAAGGAGAGTAACGATGAGAACTAAGGGTAACATGCATTTTCAAGGTGTTTAACGGATGGGCATCTCTTCCTCTTCCAGCGAACGAAAAAAAGGATTTGGGAAAATGGAGGATTAGGACAGCTGCATGATGCGATTAGGACTACAGCATTCAGCGATGGCGTTTTCATGCTTTTCATTCTTTTTCATAGTGGATGGGACGTTAGGTGGATATACCCCCAGTTTGCTGGAACTAACGAACCTCATCTACCTGCTGGATTCGTATGGTTAGACCGGCTAGAGTAAGAATGCATAATTCACTATTAGAACTGCTTTGCCATGGTGAAATGTAAATTATCGATAGGTATTGATATTGAAAAGGCCGCCCCCGAAACCCGCAGCGTTGATACGCCATAGCAAAGGGTATCTACCATTACACGCCCGAACTTATACATGGAAATAAAAGTGTAGCTTAAGCCGAGATTATCGTGCTGGCCAAAGCAGTCGCTTCATGGATCGTACACCAGATTGGAAGACGGATTCGCTGATGGAGGCTGGAGCAGGTGTCTTAAGTGTAGCGACTGTAGGCACCTCTTCCGTAGGTTCAGACTTGGTCGTCACTGTCGCGTCCTCGGCAGATTCGGAAGCCGTTGTTGCTGTAATAGTTGCGACCACCACCGCACTCGTATCCATGTCTTGTACAGCATCTGGAGAGCCCTCCTTGCCAGTCTCTGTTTTGAGACGCTGTGTATGTAATGAAGTAGCTTTCTTGGTCGAAATGTAAGAAGCGCGTTTCCTCTTCTTTCCTAAGGATCCGAGGGGACGACCTCTCTTCCTTGGTCCTAGGTAAGGAATTTAGTTGTTAGTCGGACGGGGATGGTTCAGCAGTCTCACCCTTTGACTCGGTATCAGCTGTTGGCGCATCTCTGACCTCAACTTCTTGATCGTCGTCTGCGTCACCGATGACTGAGTCCGAGTCACCATCCCGGGTTGGCGTTTTGCCAACACCAGATGCCTTGGTAGGAGTGGTGATGTCTTGGACGTCTGCATCATCGCTGGCTTGAGCGGCTGGGGTTGAAGTTACGGGCTTCTCTGATGCATCTTCCTCAGCCTTCTCAGATACATCTTCCTCAGCCTTCTCAATCATCTCGCCGCACATGAGACACGATATGTCTACATTCCACTTCCGCTTGGTCTTTCCTTCATGCTTCTCCATGATTGTGAGGCGAGTCTTGCTGCCTCCCTTGATCTTTGCCTCGAAGGTGTGTGTGGCTTCGCTCTGGCTCGATGCGAGTTCGCCCTTGCTGGGCCGACCTCTTTTCTTTGGTTTTGGTGGGGACGCCACTTGTTTTGCGCTCAGGTCTTGGAGCGCTCGCTCTTTCAGGCAGCCTGCGTGAAGCCATTCTGAACAATGTGGACACTGGACAAGAAGCTCGTCCGGATTGCTGGGCTGCTTGTCGATGCAATAGGTGTTCAGTTTCTGTGACATAATTAGTGTGAGATGAACAGTTGCAACGAGAGTGCTTACGCTTAAACGATTGGTCTTCTTTGTGATATCGTAGCTTTGACGGAAGAACAGCTGGTCTGCCAGAAGTGCCATGCTGTCTAGGTCGTCGTTCCAATGTACCACCTCTGCAGAAGATTCTACTGTGACGGCTTCTATTATGTCCATGTGGTTGCTGATTATCAGCTCGGCTCTGCCATGGTACGGTTGCCGGCCACCCGGTAGATCCTCCGGTCGGTATGCCCAAAATACTCTGAGGTAGACATGAGAGGCGTCTCCGGCGCGTACCTCAAGCACCTTGGCGAGCCAGTGCTGGATTGAGTTTGGTCCCTCCTCTACGTGATCCTCTTCGCTTTTTCTCACAAAGACCATTTGGCCAACTTGAAATTCTTCACCGTTTACTGAAACGCTCGTGTTAGCGTGGTTAGACTTAGGATGTATCACAAGTTTGGGACTCACTAGTAAACTTGCGATAGCGGTTTGTACTTTCCCAGTATCGTGCAGGTGAAATCTTGACGTGGAGGTCGCCCAGTGGAGCTCCTTGGAATGGATTTGGCTGTACGATGTCTGCGTCCAAAGGCATAAGGTGACCAGGGTATTTGTGGTGCTCCCAATTATCTGCATTGCGCTTTTCTTGTGTAGTTGAAGCTTGGCCTGGCTTCTTTCGTGCCTTGGTGTCGACGCCTATGACTTTGAAGCCAGGAAAGCTGTCGACCGTCGACCAGTCAATCTTTCGTTTCTTCGTGGAGGGGTTTGTCGCATCGCTGGCTGAGGGAGTAGATCCAGTATGCGCGGACTTCTCATCTACGACTTTACGTTTGCGCACCATCGTGAGCGATTGATGATGGAGGTTTGGCGTTTCCGAGTCGGTGGAGTGATTGTCGTGCGTTGTGGTTGGGGCGTTGGAGCTTTCGCGTACAGTCAGAGCGGGTACCACCAACACTATGGCAGGAACAACAAGACTTGGGCGAAGGTACGTTGAAGGAGCGGACGGCTGCAAGCGTTGGTGAGTTTGTGTATTAGTTTCAGAATTCGATTTGTAGAATCAAAATGAGATGCGCGAACACCGCACTTGAGACGCGTTCGAAGTGGAGTAAACGACCCAACGCGTTATCAGCTGCCGAAGCAGTGACGGTACCGCAGTCATAGGAGCGCTAGTCCCGAAGTATGACATCACGTGTGTCTTGAATGCCAGCCATCTGCATAGGCAGGATCTATCACTCCATCTTGTACAAATGCGAGTGCAAAGGCAAGGCAAGACAAGACAAGGCCACATTCATCAGAACAAGGCCCGTCTTGATGAGCGTTCAGACCTAGAGAGACATTGCGGCGGCTTCACACCGTTACCGCCGATATGTAGTCGCCGGAATAAAACAAAGCATCGACCGCCGGTACACGACTATAGAAATCAGCCTTGGTTTGCGTGACGCCACCATTGACGATCACATTCGTCACTCAATCCGTGATTGATATCGAAACCAATGTCGCTGTCTGAAACAGGCATAGTGATGCAGCATACAAGGCAACGGCTACTCGGCTAGGACTGCATGCAAATAAGATCTGTATGCCCGGTCAGCGCATTTGACAGGTCCGGACAGCATGGGAGGCACAACTGGGTACCCCAGATTCCGTGGGCCGCGTTCCGGCCGCTATTGCCAACAACTCATTTGAGGCCAAGATGCACAGCCACACCATCATCGTTACCCAGAAGAGGAGAAGCCCATGCCGAGTGGCCGAAGACAGGCGGGCGGCCGCCAATTTAGTCTAGTACGGGGCCTCAGAATGGGCTGGGAATACGACCAAGAGCCAATGAGTAAGCGTGCAGTGGCCATTGAGGTGTTTTGAAGGATTCTCGCGTTGGGAACACGCGGCCATGCGTCGCTGTTGATGGGAGCGTTTTCCAGTCTGCGCAGACATGGGGCGGTTGGAAAGTCAAGTACAAATCTGTCACCCGGTAGATGGATCATCCAGAACTCGGCGATCTCCAAGAACCCTTTCCAAGGTTCGCGTCATAGGCATGTCTAATCCCTGCCGCGCGCCCAGAAATCCCTCCACAAGTCTAACTCCACCACGGACCTCAGATATACGTACTACGCCTACCGCTCTTTCGCTCCTTGTAGTTCCCTAATTTTCCCTCCTCCTCACTTTGCACTCGCCCGTGATTCTGTGCTCTCGTCGCTCGTTTCCGAAGAACGCTCTAGTCCCTGCATCGTAACATTCAGCGAGCCGGTGTACCCGTGGCTTGCGCGCCTGGCTCAGTACCGACAACGCGCCCGTAGAGCACCTGCATTGTGTACCGCAGCGAGGAGAGACCTTCCACTTGTACTTAATACCACCACTCGTCGCTGCCATGGGTCGTCCAAAGAGAGGTAAATAATGCGCCTGCTACATAATGGCTGCCCTCCCTACTGTGTCAGCAGGGCTGGTCTTTGGAAGAACATTCACTAATGTTGCGCCCTGTTCGCCCCTTCACAGTTCTGTCGTTCATGTCACAATGGGGTGGTTCCAACCAGAATACCTTGCAGAAGAACCCTCCGTCCGCTGGACCCTCGCCGGGCCCCGCGTCCCCCGCTCCGCCTTCACCCTCTACCAAGCAACCGGTAACTTCAGCCAACTTTGCGCAATCCGCCACGGCTCTGGACACGTATAACAACGAGCGACCCCCCTCTCGGGCAACTCAACGCGACCGTAGCGATTCCCGAGCCTCAGTGCGCCCCATGTCCATGATTCAAACATATCAACCGCCAGTCATGGAAGTAAGCCAGGATACACTGCCCGAGTTGCAGCGCATCTTCATGTTCCTGAACAGCCACTCGAACAAGCTGTACCAAGAGGGTTATTTCCTCAAGTTCCACGACACCGACACTCGTACGTCAGATCTGTAGGCAATGCTTGTTTGTGATACTGACGGCAATGCAGGTGGCCGTCCCGCGCCAGATCGAAGGTGGCAGGAGTACTTCGTCCAGCTCGTCGGCACCATCCTCTCACTATGGGATGCGAGTGCGCTGGACCAGGCCGGTGGTGAGACTGAAGTCTTGCCGACCTTCATCAACCTGACAGATGCGGCAATCCACATGGTACGTTGATCCATAACTTCCATACGGCCTCCCTAACCCCGCCAGATCCCTTCCATGACCCTGAAAGACGGAAAGAAGCTCGACAACATCCTCAGCGTTTCGACAGCGGCCAGCAACAAGTTCCTCTTCCACTTCGATTCCTACCACGCGCTTACGCAATGGACCGCCGGCATCCGCCTCGCCATGTACGAGCATACAACTCTCTCGGAAGCATACACGGGCGCATTGATTGCTGGCAAGGGCAAGACGCTCAACAACATCCGCATAATTCTGGATCGGCAGTGCGCAAAGTACGAGGACTGGGTGCGCGTTCGATTCGGCGCAGGCACTCCATGGCGCCGCTGCTGGTGTGTTGTCTCTCCACCAGACGAGAAGGAATACATCAAACTGCAGAAGCTACAAAAGAAGGGCAGCGCTTACGAGCGGCCGCCAGTACTCAAGGGCGACATCAGGTTCTACGAGACCAAGAAGGTTACCAAGAAAACAAAAGCCATTGCCACTGTCAAGGATGCATACTCATGTTACGCCATCTACCCACAGTCGAAGCCGCTAATCGATCAGTCCACGCTGGTCAAGATTGAGGGCAAGATTACAATACACTCCACGCCAGAAACCACGACAGAAGGGTTCGTCTTTGTCATGCCAGAGTCGCGTCCAGCTATTTCAGGTTTTGAGATTATGCTCCAGTACCTCTTCCCTGTGTTTGATACATTTTCACTGTACGGACGCCCAAAGAAGTTGATTGCGGATGTATTGGATACTCGCGGTTTGATGTTCGCCATGCCTTCTGACAGACGATACGGTTACTTGGAGATGTGGGATGTCGTGGGCTTGATCAATACCGAAGGCAGTGACAAATGGTCAGAGCGCCAGTGGAGGAAGCAATTGAAGGACTTAACTTCAACACGTATGATGTCCGCAAACCAGGACGCTGGATCGATCTACAGCCGCGCCAGTCGCAGGAATACCGTCAGCCGAGCAGGCTTCACATCACGCGGTCTACGATTCGAAGACCAAGGTTCTGTTCGCTCTAGTCCGTCCACACGCCAGTCATCGCCTACACGTAAATTCCCTGATTTTGAGGTACAAAAGCCACGTCGTGTTGGAACGGCTCCCGCAGCGAACCCATTCGGCACTCCACGCCATCAGCGATCGGTATCGGAGCAAGTCAATGGACCCAACAACCAGAACACACCGTCGAGGTTCACGCGAGACGAAACGCCCTACGAAGACGAACGTGCGCCGACTCCTCCCCAGCACCGTGTGCTCCCCAGCTCCTCAAATGGAGCAGTCCAACCTTACGACTCGGCGTCCGACTACGATGAGAGCCCTATCAAGGAGCCACAGAATCTACCTCCACCTCCTGCAGATTTGTCCGCTCCACCGCAGGGTTATGTCGATCTTCCTCCTACTCAGGAGCACGCTGCCTATCAAAAGCCGCCCATTCGTCCCAACATGCCTATGGCGAAGCCAAATCCTGCGGTCGATTCTGCTACGCTGCAGCAAATGGCCGACGCGTCACATGGATCGCTTCCAGGTGGCATAGCTGGTGCAGGTGCAGCGGCAGCCTGGAGAAACCAGGACACTATTCAGAGTAGGCGCAGTGGCGAATACAACGGATATGGTGATCAGGGGCAGTCTATGTATCTTGGTGTAAACTCAAGGCCACCTCCATCGAACCAAAACTCTGGTAATCGCCTATCTACCATTCCTGCATCGCCCTATATCGAGCACTCTGAATTCGTCGATTCGCCATCAGGCTACCAGCCGACAGCTCCACCAGTTCCAGAACATAGTGAGTTGCCGCCGCAGCCCCCCACCCACGAGCTCCCTTACCGCCCACACCCCGAAAGTGGCGGTATTCCTCGTAAGCCAGTACCAGGTCGGTCTCCCCTAGCCTCAGAAGAGGATGACACCCTCTCGACCACTAGCTCAAGACTCGATAGTTTACGAGAAGACGTAATCGACCCCGAAGCTCTCGACGCTTTCAACATCCAACCTACGCTGCACCGTCAGGCAAGCGCATCTAGTAGCCGCTACGACGACGACGCGATATCAACTTCTACACCAGACTATGCCAGCATTGCTGAAGAGGAGGAGCCTGCGCCTCCACCACGAAGGGTGCCCGAACGACGCACCGATCGCCCTAGAAGTGGCGTCTTGACGATGATCGGAGATCCCAATGTAAAGCCTCCTTCGGATGAAGATCCGCATGGCTACAAATCAGTGCTGGACCCGGCACGAGCACCTGCAGCTGCAGCTGTGCCCAGTATTGATTTTGGTCCGACGTACGCTCTGGACTTTGACGGCAAGCGCCCAGGCACCAGCGGAACCATGACACAGATGTTGCACGACAACAGCGCCTCGCGATCCAAAGAGAACCTTGCGACAACTCCGAACGAACAGAATCGACTATCGTTTATCTCTGGAGGAAGCACACCAAACACGCCTATGCACATGCGTAGTGGTTCAAACTCTCCACAGATAACCGACTCCCGACAGGTCGCGTGGCAACCGGCTGCAGCCTCACCACAGCAGCCAGATAGACAGAGACTGGACCCTGAAGACTGGGTGATGCACCGTGCGACTCAGCAACAGCCTATGATGTATGGACATGGGAGAAGCAAGTCGCATACCCCTCCTCCGTTCGGTCGCACGCATTCCGGAGACTGGAGTCAAATGCAACCTAATACTGGTCGCACACACTCTGGGGATTGGAGCCAGATGCAGCCTCCTATCGGCCGCACACATTCTGGGGACTGGAGTCAAATACGGCGTTCGCCTCAGGGTTCGCCTGGACCCGCTCGTCCACCTAGTCGCCCGTTGAGCCGTGGTGCTGACACACTGCTTGATCAACGACCCACCACCTTGTCAGCTCGCGAGCAGGAACAGGTTGCTCGAATGACCAACACTCCTCTTCTGGACTTGTCACAAAACCCCAAGAAACTACAGAAACCCCCTCCAACAGGACTGACAGGCTACATCGATCACCGTGAGAAGGAGAAGGCAGCTCAAAAGGCCAATCGTCACAGCTATACTCCGGCTATGCAATCTGAGATCGATAGGCGCACATTGCAGAACCAACAGCGTCAAATGATGGAGGTTCAGCAACGCCAGCAGCAGATGATGCAACAGCAGATGCAGCAGCAACAATTCGCAATGGCTCAGGCTCAGGCTCAGAGCACCTATGCGCCGAGTATGATGGGAATGCCAACTGGCGGTGGTGCGCCCAGCGTTATGGGCGCTCCTAGCATGATGGGTACCCCTAGTATGATGGGCACTCCTAGTGTTATGGGTATGCCTACCGGGCCTGGAACGCCGTCTGGAATGGTCGGCATGGCGTACTCTACACCAAGCCAGATGCACCCCATGTACCAGCAACAGCAGCAGCAGTACTTTCCTCAGACACCAACCCCACAGATGAATATCCCTGGTGGGTGGATTTCACCAGCGCAGACGCCGCAGGGCCAGTACTTCCCACAGTCGTCGCCACAAGGCTACGGCAACATGGTTCAGCAGCAGCAACAGCAGAACCCGCCCACACAGGCCTACGGCGCAAGCTTCGACCAGGCGCAGCAGGCAGCCAAGTTCGCGCACCAACAGGCTCAGGGACAGTACCGACGTTGAACAGATGGAATACGAAATTAGGAAGTGGTCGAGATTATCTCTGGGTCGATTACAATTGGATTGAAGAGTATGAGACGAGATGCCGATGTTCACTGTACATACTTTTGTGTCTGCATCTTCTTCTCGTACATAGTATTAGATAGTGATTAGTGGTGCATGTGGAGCTTTTGATGGGTTGGAAGGCTCGCATGTTGTAATATGGGGACCCTAATGGAGTTTATGATGATTGAGGAAACAATTAAGTATTTAGCTGTCTACTGTAACGTGACTCGCAGTGTTCGTGCCCAGTCGACGGATCCGAAGAAGTACATGTATCCATCACTCATATCACTCCGAACACCTTTTGCCATTAGACCACGGCTGCGATCGATGTGAAATTGTATCTCAGTCTTCGGGAAAGGAACTTTCAAAACTTTCTCCAACAATTGGCCGATTCGGAGAAGTTCATCTTCACGCCATTTTGCCTCCCAGCTCATCTCGGTAATGACATTGTAGAAAACATCAAGCAAAACATCCTTTGCTGATTTACGATAATCAACTACGATCATTGAGCCATACTTCGCTATTCCCACAACAGCATAGACTCTGTCTCGGATATCTTCGCACTCATGGGCACTATATGTTTCCATTAGGAATTCGATAGTAACGTCCCTGGGCCGGCCCGGTACATGCGTCGCCTCATCAAGAGCCTTAATCTTGACGACGGACATGGCTGGACTGGAGCGAACGGCGTTGTAAAAAGGTGTGTCCATCTCCTTGTAGTCCCTGGATATGATACTCACATAATAGTACAATTGCTCGAACTTGTACCATTCGAGAACCTCAGAGCCCCAATGGATCTCTACGCGTTTCGCGTGCACGACTTCTTGGATGATCCACATACGCGACCAATATCTTTTCTTACATAATGACAATACACTGAGTACCTCTTTCGGGTTCCAGGTAGTCACGCCCTTCGTTCCACGCGTAAGAAGAATGTTGCCGAATTTGTTCTTGCTAGTGAACATGTATCGTACAGTGCTCGGATTGCACCACTTCCAATTCGTCAAAGTCCGCATGGCGAGATTGCCATCGTCACTCTCTTTGCCAAGCCAGATCAGAACCAATTGGGCATCCATGTATATATGGTCCATCATCCGTACTTGATGATTACGCTCATGAACTTCTGACTGTTGTATACAGAGGGCGTCAATCCAGAACGGTCCGTAATTGCCACGAAGCAGCTGTTGGTGTAGGAAGTCCCATAAGTTCTCGCGGACTGGAACTTTCACACGGTTGATTTCGATATTGGTGTAAGTTGCATTGACACCCCATGTGTACGACAAAGCTGTATAAGGTGGAGGGTTCTTGGAATCGTCGGTCTGTATACAAGATAGTTCAGGGCTTTTGAGATAGTAGGTTTGCATGTTGCATTTGATTATGTTTTCGTTGTTATTGGGTTGGAGTTGGAGTAGTCTGAACTCCCGGCTCTTCCGATCGACCGGACAGGATGCGTAAAGGTCGTCTATCGGTCACTATTAGCATGCAACACTGACGGCGGAAATTCTTTTCTAGATATGTTGCGTGATTGTGTGGTGTGAGAGTGTTAGGAATCGGAGAAAGGACAATGAGACAGCTGCAAAGATGTGACACAAATGTCTGCCTTGAGCGGTGAGACATCTGTTAGAGGGGGGAGGCTGTGCTGCCATGAACTTGTCGACGAGGCTGAAGTTCTTGGCTCTATGCATACCTGGGCGGCATAATCACAGCCAATGGTAAGAGGTTATCAGCTGATTTGGCGTATGAATCTGCTCCTCCGAGATTTGCAACCAAAGGCATACTCTGATACTAGCGAACTTCCACTGGAATTGACATGATCAGTAGAGTGTCTGGAATCACTTTGGTTGGCCAAGAATGCGAGCAAGATGGAGCATGTATTCGTGAGTGGATGTGAGATGCCTCGGGAGGACGAAGTGCGGGGCATCTCAGCTACGAAGCTACCCCTCCATGCAGCTTTCACGCCGCTAACCTCATCCCACGTCCGCCTCCACTACTCGCCCTGCATGAGGCTCGTCATCGTATCCATCACTCATCATCGTCGGCCGACCTTTCTTCCATTTGGTTCCAAGCTTAACTCGTTCCGATGATGCTGCCGTGAACCAAGATAGGTTCAGAGTTGGTGAAGTTCTTTACGTCGTCCATGATCTCCTTGGTTCCTGGATCCTGCATGGCCTTTCCAACAGCTTCTTGGCTGTCAAACTCCATGACGGAGGAGATGGAGTATGGGCCATCGGCACCGAGTTCGCTGACGGCGTAGGACTTCATACCGTGTGGGCCCCAGTGCTTCATGGCGAGGGGCATGTGTGTCTTGAGGTAGTACTCCTTGTCAAAAGTGGAGCCCTCCTTGCGAGGGTAGAGGACGATAGCGGTTGCGCCAGGCATGATGATGTTTAGCTGGAGGTTGTTGTAAGAGCTCTGTTGGTTGTGAGTAAAGGTTGGCAGATACTTGCAAGATGTACTGACTGTTGTAGTAGATCCGATGAGTGTAGCTGAACAGTACCGACGTGGGTATTTAGTGTCTTTATAACTGCGCCGGTTCCTTAGATCGACTCAGTACCCCACTTCGATCCTTACAGCCGCTTCGGATCCTCCAGTCTTGTACACTCGCCCGTGATTACTCGTAGTCCCACTCGGATCGGTCTTAGGAAATGCTCTGTTGGTTTTTGTCAGCTACGGCCATTTCCTGACTACGTACCGGCTCCAGACACTTGTCGCTCAAGGTTAGCCGGATCTTCCCGAGTGGATATGATCGCACATATTTGGAGCAAGTATTTTGCGCTATCTTGCTAAGCTGATCTGTTGCCAGACATTTACTTCAACGCTGTCGCGGTGCGCCAGCTGTATCGTGATGTTGAAAGTCCGGTACAACCCCCGATATCTCCGTATGCGATCCCTGTCTTGCACGTAATCACAGCTTTGTAGGTGGCTTATTCTTGACATCTGGGCGATTACGTGCAATTAGGCTTTCCTGAATGACCACGATCCGTTGTGCCCCCGGCCTTGTATCATTCCCGGGAAAAGATATGGACGGTATCGGCACGTCGTCTCGCAACCCAGCTGTCCTCACATCTCCCCATAATCTTCCTCCAGAAGGCGCTTTTGTTCTCGCCCATATGAAAGCCATCTTGTTCATTCCCCTGAGTCTTAACCCGATGACTGTATGCATTTCTGTTACGATCCGGAACTGAGGTGGATCTCGCGGTGCCCATTGCTGGCTGTTTTTCACTGCGATACTTGTGCGCTGGGAGACAACCGCTTCCTGTATAACGAGACCAATACCTGAATCTGAGAATCGTTCAGGCAGTATCGAGTTAGAGACGCGACCTTCCTCTTCGTGTGCGCAGTCTGTCAGTTTGAATCGAAGCGCGGGATCTAGCCCTACAAATGCGTCCGACAATCTTCCACCGTCTATGACACACGAGCGACCCGACTCGAAGAAGAGATGTAGCGTGGGAAAGAATGTGTTCAGGGTCCAGTAAACGATCTCTAAGCGTGGTCAGCTCTGACGTCCTTGTACGCTGCGCATCCTCTAGACGGACTCTCGTTTACCAACTGACTGGCCACAATCGTGTTTCCAATCTCGCCTGCGTGCGCCGATCTGGTTGTTTGTGGTAACAACGTGCTTCGGTCCACAGTACGTATTGTCGTCGCATCTGATCCCCGATCGATGTCATCTTGCACCAAATCCTCGTTGAGCTGTTCCCTGTTTCTCGAGAGCGGAGGAAGGCTGCGGCGTTGCGTCTCTGAATACAAGTCGTGCGTCGGACATTTGTAGTAATCCATGCGACGAAAGCAGCTACTGTGTGTCCGCAGGCCTTTGCAATGGTCACCGGATCTTGAACGCTTGTATAGTGGCCTTGGATTGCTATGACAAATCTGGGATATACATTTGCGATTGCGATATAAATGATGGAAAACTAAATGGTTCAAGAGCCGAGGCGTAGAAGCGCGACAGACTGCGTTTGCGTGCGCCTCGAATATGACTTCACTGCCATTGGAAGAACGAAACCGGATTGACCCACACTATGGAGGAGGTCCACCCGGGCTTTCCACTAAACACGTGTTCTACTTCCATGCAGTTGACAGCCTGGATTACGAAAGGCAAATCTATTGATTCTTCGGGATGATATCAGCAACGTTCCGGAATGTACTGCATGTAATTGCATTGTCAAGAGAATACTATCTAGTCAAGATCTTGCATAGAACGCAATTTCCCAGATCATATGAGTTTATGTGTTACAACTTGAGTCCAGAAAGCCTTGTATAGAGGATTGCCGTGTGATTGCCTTTTTGGCCGGACGTGAGTGTGCGGCGGGAGATGTACACTGAGTGAGCAGAATACGATTCACTTCCAACCTTCAGTTTCAGACGATGCTGAAATGAAGTAGTGCATATGTACTCATACGCTCTCGCCTTTGTCTAAGAAGGTGCAAGATACCTCGGTTCGTACCTGCATCACTTTACTAGCGGCTCTTGGCAGGTGCTCTTGCCCTGACTATCTGTTTACTCCCACACACACTCACTCTCAAATTGAACTAACTCAGTTTGTTTTCTTCTGCAGTCGGTAAGAAAAACAGAGCGATGACACCCATTACGTAAATCTCACCTTCTACACATCGCGCACTTCAGCAGTTGTCAACTAACCTGACACCAGACAATCTGGAAGCAAGCGCGCAGCTCGCGAGGCTATAGATGCCGCTATACCTACTTGGGAATTGAAAAGGGCTTCCAAGACGATTGCAACGGCCACGGATAGTGAAGAGCCCGCCACAGAAGACCAGCAGTGCTTCCGCTTCCTCAATCTTTCTCCAGGTATGGCTTCTCTACTCGTACAACGTGTTTTAGATACTGACGCTACGCAGAGCTAAGAAACAGAGTATACAAGTATGCTGAAGAAGATGACACTGAACCGTTCGCTCTGCATCCAATACACCTCCACCCAGATTCTCACCGCAAGTCGTATTCCAAGCGTACCTGGCAATATTTCGCTGTAACCCAGGTCTGCAAGCAAGTTCGCGCTGAGTATCGTCCTATTTGGGTCCGGGACCTTCGTGTTAGATTTGAATCAACTTCCGAGGTGACTCTTTTCGCTGATACATTTCTGCATCATGGGAGCGGAAACGAGCACACGCCCAGACTAGTGCAGTTCTTGTGGGACCATGGTGACGACAGCATATCATCATTTGATATGATGCCTTTACTGCGCCTGCATGCCCGGCATCCATCATTACGTGTTGAATTTGTTCCATACATGATTGTTGCAGGCGGATTGACCATAGAAAACGACATTTGCAGAAGTTGCAGAGCACAGATCCACGAGTACGAAGACATAAACGACTGCGACAACTGCGAATGCTCATATCACGCGTTGAATCGCTATGAGTGGGGGGCTTTCAAGCGTGAACAAATGAGATATACTCGCAGCATACAAGTCTTCATCCACAACCTAAACGAGTCTTGGCTTGAAGCAGTACGGGAGGACAAGATGACGGTGACATGCCAAATCAATGAGGAAAGCTGCCATGGTACCTTCAAGATCCTTTGCAAAGAACCAATTTGTCAGAAAACCACCGAATCTCAACCAGCCTTGGACTTACTGGAGCAATGGGGGATTTTCGATCTTGACGTTAAGAAATGTACGGTGTTTGTGATGGCTTATGAAGATGAACAGATTACGGAGAGGGATGGACGGGAGATCAACAACTCGGTTGTGCGCGAAGTTTGCGTTCGCAAAGTATCAGCGAAAGACCAGGCCGCTTCGTCCATCTAAACACTTATTAGAACAGATCACAGTCTGTTATAGGTGTGTATGATGACCTCCAACCATGATTATGCTATTCTGGGCATGTGCGACTCCGTGTATGGACGGATATTTCTGTTTTAGGACGAGTAAGACGTTTGTAAAATCGATATACAGCCAGCAAGTCTCTACCATACGATATCTCCTTCTTTTGCTGTCAAGGCTGTACCGATATTTAACGATGTCTGTGAAAATCCTGTTTGGCTCCAAAAAGTTGCGATGTGACTGATTGTACGATGTGAAAAGACAGTCTTATCCCTACTAAATCCTACTAGGTGCTGATCATGGTTCAGTCAACTCTTGTTGCTGCTGCGTGAGCCTTTCGCTTCCTCTACATCGTCGGTATCACGGCTACCCTATGCGACATCCCTACCCTCTTCCGTCGTGCCGTAAAGTCACCCCTACCATCGGGATATTTTCCTGGCATCCTGTTGCTTGCTTGATCGCAAACCTGTCATTTCCTTATCGTCAACACGATCATGAGGCGATAATGGCGAATTGCAAGCAACGCATAGCTATGCTGATTTACCTACGTTTGTCAACAATATTCTACATACATACATGATCTGAACTCCATTGGCTGGAAACCAGACCCTGACCAGCACGGCCATCAGCATTCTGCTATCAGAATGGCCGATCAGGACCATACAGGATATATTTGTGACTAACCCCGGAACGAGCGGAGGTTTTGTTCATGTGTACTGGTAGAAGACCTTTTGGAGACGGTCAGCACCAGCTTTACAATGTGAGACCAACAGACATACTTCGATCGTCCAGCGCCTTTTACAATTAGCCATACTGCACACAATCACTAGTACCCAAACACCTCATGACAGAGCAGAACATGTTTTGTATTCTACTCCTTGGTAATATACACACGACGTTGGCCCTCCACCACCGCCAAATCCGGAAGCCCAGTCCATAAGAAAACAAACGCCACAGAACCCTATCCTTCGACTTGCTCGATAGTATTTATAAGGGTATAGAATTGTAAGCCCCGCCCATGAAGATGAAAATGCTTCCAGTAAACCCCATTAATGTGCACTGGTCCCTGTACCTGTATTCACACCACTTTCCCTCTTCCGTCTCCGTCTTTGGCGCGCATTGTCTCTCAGGAACTGGGGGTCGATGAAATCGTCGGGCAGCTCAAACTCCCTTTCGACGAAATCGGGTATAGGCTGACCAAAGGCAGACGCGTTGCGACCGTGTCTGTGTTTACCAAGGGCAGCGGCGCGGAGGTGTGGTTTAGCATAAAAGGAGCTGAATGGGGCTGCAGGTTCAGGTGGCACGAATGGGAGGAGAAAGCCATGCGGACGCGGTGGTCTTCGTGGTTTCGGTGGCTCAGGTTCTTTGGGCTGCTGTCGTGGTGGTGGAGCATCGCGGCCGTTGACTACAATGTTGTCTGAGTCTTCGGTCTCTTCGCCGTCTTCTTCCTCATCGTCTTCCCTCGCGGCGAGAGCTGCTTCCTTTTCAGCACGCAAGCGTTTCTCTTCTTCCTTCCAGACGCGGAACTTGTCCACTAGTGCTTCTACCTCTCTGACAAAGTAGTCGCGCTTGGCCTCCCAGTCCTTTCTCTCGCCGTCTGTCACGCCTGTTATGCCCATAACCTTGAGCCAGTCTGGGCCCTGCAGTCCATCGAGAAGCCTCTCTAACTGCACCTTCTCGTGCATGGCGCGCTCCTTTTCGATATTGCGCAGCTGCTTCTCCTTGCGCTCAGCGCGTCGGTGTTGTGTGAAGAAGACCGAGTCGGCGAGGGGGTCTTCGCCGTCATTGCGGGTGATGGCATTGGCTACAGAGGCGTAGTTGAGGACGGTGAAGGAAGTCGAGGACTGGGCTAGGGGTATTGAGGGATCTGAAGCATGGCGCGACGGGGACGAAGGTCTCGCTTTCCGTGAGCGCGTCGGGCTTAGTGAGCTTCTTGTGGGCTCAGGCGTCTTGGGCTTGATGGGCTCGTCGACAATGTATATGGGGGTATCGATATCGAGGAACTCTGCATGCGATCAGCTGGTAGGCCACGCGACATGTGACAGTGACATACCATCCTCTTTGGGCACACCTGCAATGATGTCGTCGTAGTTTGAAAAGTAGACGGCGAGATCACTCTTGAGGCGGGATCCACCGTCGTGGCTTCTCAGGCTGCGCTTGTCTGTCGACGACGCTGTCGAGGCCGGGGCGGGGACAGCTGGGGGCGCAGTAAGCTTGCCGGAGCTGCCTGGCCTAGGCGTGGACCTCGCAGAGGGGACGTCGTCGGCGTCTATGCCCAGCGGGGCGGCGACGCCATTGGTGATGCGCAGAAGCTCGCCGTGTGGTTGTGTCACGGTGATCTTGGTGGGAGGTCTCGTGTCGGTCGCGTCGTCTTCCAAGGCTGTGGCTGGCCGCTTCCTGCTGCTGGTGCGCGCAGGCGGAGGGGGTTTGTTGGGCGTGTGGGTTAATTGCTTGACGGATCTATCGTCATCAGCAAGCGCAAGCAATGGGCCGCTTTTGGAGGTCCGTCTTGTCGTGACGGGCGTGTTATTGTTGTTGCGCTGGGCTTGTTGGAGGGCGTCATCGCGCGACACGGGCAGGAAGTTGAGCCTCGTCTGCCGTTCATTCGAGCTTCGCAGCAGCGGAGGCCGAACGGCGTTGGCCATGATATTGAGCAGACTCGAGATCATTCGCGATTCGCTGGGTCATCTTTTAGCTATTCATCGTTGAGCTGCCATTGAGTGTCGCGCTGAGATGTGCCAAAACGCGAGCCGTTAGGGGTCGTCGAGTGGCAGAGCTCGCGCAGTTTGCCAAACGAGCTGCTGCACCCAAAACTATCCAGTACGCCTCACCAAGACACATGCGTCGCATACAGATAAAGTGACGTTGAATTAAGCTTCATATCAGAGCCTTCCCTTCTCCATATCAGACTGTACATCAGAAGAATATTCAACGAATTGCAGTGCAGCGCATATGAGATACTTGGAAGAGTAGCGCCACCGACGCTGGTAGCCAATCACTACCCTATGATCCCGGCAGCACCAACTCGACATTCAACATGAAGTAATCCTGCATGGGCAACTTTACGGAAAATTTATATCTACACATGAATCTGGAACAATGAGACGTCCTCTCGACTGCTTCAGTCGTGCTCGTTACTGTCACCCGTCGTGCACACCCCGGACCATCGGCACCTCGATCCCAATCCAGCTCTTGTTTGCCACACCTGAGACACCAAGATCAACACGTACACCGACGAGCACCTCACGAGAAAAGAAAGTCCTTCAAGACTGGTGATCCAGCGAACTCCGGGTTGAGCAAAACGCAACTATTAATAGGTCAGCCGATGTACGCTAGCTTTGTTATCGATAAACAAACTTGAGAAAGTACGAAAGTCCTTGTTTCCGCTTTTCCAGAAAACGGGGCCTAAAGCGAGCTATGCCAGATGCATTAGTATATTAACTGGTGGAGTGATGCCGCACGAGGACATGTGACTTACATATTACGGACTTGGGTGGGAAGTGCGGCATGGAACCCGCGGCGTGAGGAAAGGTCTGGAGCAGCTTTGTGTGCAGATCTTCAAACTCTGAGTATCTGTACACAATCAGTGGATGCTTTCGAAGGTCGTGGAAACATGTCTTACCTCTTTCGTATCTTCATGGGACCACCCTGCAACAGTTAGCATGTGCATGAAGGTTCGTCGCCTGGAGATAGGCAGCATCTCGCAGCTCCACCACAGGCCTTGTGCATGAAACCATCTTTTGGGAAAACAATTTCATGCAAGTGATTGGCTACGAGGATATGGCTCTGCGGACTAGCGCATCTCGATGCGGCTCGGAACTTACATCGAGTGTCTCGACCGTGCAATTGAAGACGACATAAGCTCCAAATCCAGGTGCCGCAGCCGTGCCGCTGATGACAACGTAATCATCTATCGTGACACCCTTGGCCCAGAGAACTTTGCAGTGGTCTGAGCCCTCATCGGTATGGTCCTCGAGGCCGATGGGAGTGGGGCGGCCGTTGTCAGCAGAGTAGTTGCTTAGATAGGACGCGTTGCGCTGGTGGGATTGCCAGTATGGCGGGACCACACTGCCAACGCTGTTGCGGTCACCCGCGGTAGCAGTGGCGGGTTTTGCCCCATCTCGGGCTGGCGACGACGACGGGTCTCCAGTTTCAAAGCTCGCCGGCTCCATCCATTTACAGTAGATGGCTGGGCAGGTGGCGCGTCAAACGGGAAGGCGGTTGGTATCTAGGTGCTGCCGCGTCGAGGTGAGGGGTAGATATGTACAGTGTGGTGCTGCAACAGCTGGGCCGGAGCATGCAGCCAGTCGCGTCTAGTGTCTTGTTGACGATGAAAGAAGAATTGGCGGCGTTTGCCAGCGCTCATCTCAACCGAATGATGCGCAGCGCGAGCCAGGATGCGAGACCCTGGGTGAATGACTAGCGGATGCTAGGGCGGTGGCCAATACGAACAAGCAAACCATTGCATCCCTGCGCAGCCGAGGGATTAATGGGAAACTTCCAATACAGCGTCTCACGATTTCCGACCCAAAGCCGCCCTTTCCACGCCGTCCACGCCGACTCCACAGTCGCCAGATGGCTCGAGTCACGGCCAACCCGTCCCCAACAGGCATCGTCCCGGGCGAGAAGGTAGGCGGGGAAACGCACGCACCCGTCCGTGAGCCTTCCTATCTGATACTCCACTAGCTTATTGCTTCCCGTCGACACATCCCTCCCTTTATATATCAGACGCCGCCTCTTTTTTCCAGCCTCCTCATCACTTTCGCTGAAGAGTTGCCCTTTATATTCGATTGTCCACCGTCTGTCGCTGACCGTCTATTATTTTAATACCTTCGCTGCATCTCCGCTAATACTCCTTCACCATCACCACCACCACCACCACCTCAACCGTCAACATGCGTTCCGTCTTCGCCCTCAGCATTGCCGCCTTCACTGGCTTGGTCGCTGCTCAGGACACCCCCCAGATGAGCTACCCATACACCATTGACCCCGACACCGTGCCCCAGTCTGAGAGGGGTATGTAGAGTCGTCCGTATCAACTTTGCCTCGTCTAACATGGCCCAGATTACTGGTGCGACCAGAACAGGGCACAGTGCCCGCTCATCTGCCTCCAACAGCCCGGTGTCGACTCTATGACCACCGAGCAGAACGACTGCGATTCCGACGCTTTGACCTACACCTGTGTCTGTGACAACGGTGTCTCTCCCAACATCACCCAGTACTCGCAGACCCTGCCATACTTCATCTGCCAACAATGGGGAAACAACTGCGTCGCCAACTGCAACGGTGACAGCACTTGCCAGAGCGCTTGCCGGTATGTTTGATCGATCGAACCATCGAAGTAAAAACAGCACTAACATGATTACCAGTGAGGACCACCCATGCGGAGCCCAAGACCCCTACCGCGGTAACACCTCTCTACCTACCACCATGTCTTCCACCGCCGCCCCGACTGGCTCCAACGGCGCTGCTACCAACACCATCCCCGTTACCGGCTTCGGCGGCGGTGCTGAGGAGACCGGTTCCAGCGACAGCGGCTCATCCGACCAAGGCGGTGCTGGCTCCATCTTCATGCCTAACGCCGGTCTTGGTCTCGCTGCCGTCTTCGGCAGCGTCTTCTTCGGCTTCGCCGTCCTCTTGTAAATATGAGGAGAGTCCAACAGTCTCGTCTAGCGAGTCTCTGCTTGCAATCTTCGTCCTATTTTTCATGCATAGCGTTTTCCGGCATAAAAACTCCAGTCCTTTTCGATTGTTCGATACCCACCTTGGGGCATTCCGCTCTCTTCATGACAGCCTGGCAAGGCTTTGTCCTTTTTATCTATTGCATGGGGTTTATGGCGTATTTGTAGTGGTGACGAGGATCACTAGCCCGAAGGGCAAAGGTAGCATTACCTAGCATGCAGTTGTAATACATTGGAAGCAGAGGTGTTGATGCTGAGGAACTATTACGTATTCTTGCCATGATATGTGACTGTGATGTGTTTGATGTGTTCCAACGCCTTATAAACGCTAGAGATTGATTCCAACTTGAGTTCAGTCGAATAATTCTTCCAAAGATACAGGTGACAGTCTAGAGATATACCTTCGGCGGCGACTCATCCCACCACAACCTCCCCTGTAAACTCTTCCTCGGACCCCGGCGTCGTGGATGATGATTCATCACGCTCGCTTTTCCTTGCTCTATATATACAGCTCGTAGATCTTCACTCCCCTCTAGGCTTCCTGTTCGACGCCTGACGGGTGATGGCACATCCGCCAGTGGTGGGGAGGCCGAGGTCAGAGGACTGGGAAGCGCAGGGTGTGTGATGCTGAAATCCGGTTCATCTTCTAAACCTCGGACCAAGTCACCCTTCTTGTCAACAGTAGAAGGGCCATGGTATGGCAAGATGGGCTGTGTAGGTGCAGGTGTAGAAAGCCGTTCGACGGAAACGTGAAACATGCGTGAATTACTCGATACAGATCGCTGGAGCAAGGCTCGTTGTGGTGGACCCAGAAGTAGTGTTTGCATGGCCTCTGGAGAGGGAACGAGAGTGGGCTGAAGAGATGGTGAAGAGGGAGTTGTATCTGGGCTGTACTCTTGGGAGAGCAGATTTGTTGTTGATGATACGAGGGATGGGGGGAAGGTAGGTGAGTCGTCAATGGATTGGGCTGAGCCCACAGAAACCGCAGATAAGCCGCGACTGATGTGATATGAAGATGGTATTGAGATTGGCTCAGAATGGCCATTGACACCTGGTTCGCTCGCATCTGTAGCAGGTGTGCTGACTACGTTTTGTGCGAGGTGACATGGAGTCCTTGACGGTTTAGCCGCTGGTGTAGGAGAGCCGAAGCTGGAGACTGAAGAAGACGTTGAGGATCGCCGCTCGTCTCGTGGACAGTAAGGTGTAGGTGGGACTAGGCGCATGCTTATTTTCCTTGTGGCAGGCTCTGCCCTCCTGCGTCCGTTGTGATCCTCTGGTAATACTGGAGCCGACAACTGTAGTGGGCCAACGGCGATCTGGGGGCCGCAGGCAGCGGACTCTTTAAATATAACGATTTGGCTTTCGTCCGACGGTGCATGAATCAGAACACCAGTCCGTACAGTGGAAGGACCGGCCGTATCAGACGAAGTATCCTGGTAGGGAGAGAGAAGTGGTTGATCTTGTGAGATCAATCCATCCTCATCATCATAGACCATCCGACTTTTCCCTTTGTCCACTTTGCTAGACCTTTGAGGCTTCAAAAAGTCACTGAAACTAAATTGAGAGTCTTTTCGTTCTCGCTCTTCGCATCTCTCAGCTCGGCTATCATATTGCCAATGCTTGTCGGGTTGCTCCAGATCACTATCTTCATCGTACTGTAAGTCGGTCTTCCATTGCGCCTGCATGGTGTTTCTTCTTTTAGCTCGGAGCGTTGCCTGGAAGGTGTCCCAGTCAGTAGTGGAGTAAAAGCAGCTAGGGCCTACTTCGCCGTTCACATCAAAGTATTCGCTTACATTGGGCAGATCAGCTAGGCCCATTCCAGCGAGATCTTTGGAACTACACTGGGCGTATTGGTCTTCAGATGGGCGGCTTGTGTTGTCAGATATGCCCGAGCGTTGGGCAACAGTAGGATCGGGTGGTGGGTGTTCATCTTCGGCAGATCCTCTTCGACCATAAAAGAGGCGTCTGAGCCTGGTATTGACCTTCTCTATTACCTCAATGACCTGTGACGGCCTTCGGGAATGGGACCCAGTGCCCTGAGTGGTGGGCGTAGGGGGCGTACTAGGAAGCGTTGGGTAAACACTGTCGAGATGCGAAGCTGATTCAGTCATAGCCACGTCGTATGTTGGTGGTGGTAAACAAGGACAGTCGATTGTTGTCTCTTGAATACGTCTTAACGTTTTTCTTCGTTTCTTCAAATATCCCCGCGTCTGGAGGAATGATTCGGTTGCTCGTCGCTTCAGCGTAAGTTCTGGAGGGTATGGCAATCGGTATGTTTCTGGTTCAACTTCTGTTTGGCTGATGTTGACAACTACATAAGGCTCATTGGAAGGTATGTGTACATGAACTTGAGAAGTCATAGCATTGGACAGCATAAAAGCTGTTGAACGTAGTAGGGTGAGAGAGCAGAAAGAATAAAAAAAAGACTCAATGACCGGATGAATCTTTTGGCTTTAATAGTCTAGCAATAGCATTGGTACGATGCGGAAGAACACGCTGGTACGGCCAATGACCAAAGTCACATATTTGTACCGAAGAAATCCGCCAATGGAGCTTGGTTGACAAGAAAACAGGGTGTTGACACGACGGCGCGAACCTGGATAAACACCGATCCATCTGGTTAGTAGTAGTTTGGAAGACCAACAAAGCAGCCTGGAACAGACAAGAAGATTCTGCGCCTGCACACGTATGCAAGAGAAATATGCAGTTCGAGCGTTTCTGGGAAAACTGCCCTATAGAATTTGGCGGATATGAAACGTTACCACGGTAGGAGGCGCTACTGTGGTGACTCTATAGGAGAAGGTTTCATGCGTATTTTGTTTAGGTGTTGGCACCGTCCAGGAGTATTGGTACATTCGCCATCATTACCACAAGAGATTGTTCGTCTAGACCTAAATCACCGGCCCTTACGACCCGATAACGTAGCATCGCCCTCGTATTATCAACGGACCGAGAAGCTGTCAAGGAGTCCTTCGACATCATAATCCTCACATAGACAGGATGAACTGCCTATCAGCGAGCAATAACTTGAAGGTATAATGAAACAAGAGGGGTATAAGCTGTCTGCAGAAGCGTTGATTCATGAATAAGACTAATTCTCCTTCTAGAGCAAACAACTGTCGCTAAGGGAAGCCTGGAGAGGATCCGGAAATCTCAATTGGAAGAGAACATGTTGTGGTTTGGATGTGGTGGAGAAGGTGGAAGGAGCCGAAGCTAACATCAGGCGTTGACGAGGCCCCGGCAGGTCGCCACGACTTGCCATGCATGACATAATCCTTAGCGCGTCAGTCTGCAAACACGCCAAACAAACCTATGATGACACTACCGTTCCGACTTTCGTGGTTCGCAAATCAAATCCGTTTTCCCATGTTACGATAATCTTCAAAGGCTCGTGATGCCGCCCCGAATACTTCTAAGAGGGCTCAGGACTCTATCGTCGCCATCGGCAGCCTGGGTCCGTCTGCGGCCTCAGCAGAGGTTTGCCTCGAGCTCCGCAAATACACCGGAGGTTTACGACGTCGTCTGCGTAGGCGGTGGACCAGCAGGTCTGAGTCTCCTGACCGGTCTGAAAGCATCGCCAGTCACAAACGGGCTGAAAGTTGCACTCATCGAGGGACAAGATCTACACAAGAATCGATTATCACAAGATGCTAGTTTGGAGAGCTTTTCCAATAGATGCAGCTCCCTCACCCCGGCCTCCGTGAAGAATTTACAGGGTACGAACGAGCGTGTGAAGTGTATAGTAGTTCCGGTCTGACGTGCGCGAAATAGAAATCGGAGCATGGGCGCATGTCAACACACCCCGGGTGCAGCCATACCAAGAGATGCAAGTATGGGACGGCGTCACTGATGCACGGATATCGTTCGATTGGCACACGGCGAAACCTCTCCTTACTCCTCGTAACCCAGCGCAGCCCACAACGATCGCCTACATGATCGAGAACGTCAATACGGTTACCGCTTTGTTGAGCCGGCTCGAACAGTTGGGCGGTGTCGACTTTTACACATCCACAAAGGTCAACTCGATAGATCTAGGTACAGATACAGAGAAGATGGACTTCTCATCGTGGCCAATGCTCACGCTATCCAATGGAAAGACATTAGCAGCTAGGCTGTTAGTCGGAGCCGATGGTGCGAATAGCCTAGTGCGGACTTTTGCAGACATTGAGTCGCGAGGCTTCGATTATGGTAGACATGGTTTGGTGGCTAGTCTGAAGCTCGAGGGGCAAGGCTGGGGCGGTCCAGATCACAAGATCGCATACCAACGGTTCTTGCCAACCGGTCCAATAGCTATGCTGCCCCTTCCAGGAAACATGTCGACACTCGTCTGGAGTACCACGCCGGAGCGTGCCGCGAAGCTCAAGACGTTGTCACAAGAGGATTTCGTTGCAATGATCAATGCGGGTTTCCGACTGTCACCCACAGACTTAGAGTATCTACACACACTCTCATCTGGACAGGCAGAAGAAGTTGCATGGCGAGAGAAACACACGCCTGTCGACGAACATGCGATACCAATGCGAGTAGCACACGTACAAGACGGTACAGTCGCGTCCTTCCCACTTCGCATGCGACACGCGGATACATACACTGGTGAACGAGTTGCGCTGGTTGGCGATGCGGCGCACACCATACATCCGCTCGCAGGCCAAGGTTTAAACCAAGGCCAGGGCGATGCTGCAGCGCTCGTTCGAACGATATCACATGCAGTGCAAACTGGCCAAGACATCGGATCGACTTTGGCGTTGGAGAGCTATACCAGCGAGCGATACGCGGAGAATAATGCAATGCTGGGCGTATGCGATAAATTACATCGACTGTATAGCGTTGAATCGGGCCCGCTTGTAGGATTGCGAAGTCTCGGATTGAGAGCTGTCGATGCTATGGGTCCACTGAAGGGTTTCTTCATGAGCCGCGCTGCGGGTGGATCTTAAACGATTGTACTTGTATCTGTAAACATATGTATGCATACCTAGGTAGCTTGGCAATACAAAACAACATACGATTTTTAAACAACCACCACCGAAGAATCCCGATATGCTGTTCCGCGGACGATACGCGGCTTACGCATTTTCCCTGCATCGCGGCCCCACTAATAATCTGGTCCTTCGGCACCTCATGGAAACGTTAAAACAGACTTGCTCCTACGACAAGTGAGCTTACATATCTCACTAATCGACCATGGCAGACCACACGAGTGAGATCGAGACTTATGGCAGCAACGATGACTTCTGGATCTTTGGATACGGGTAAGGCTGCCGAATGAACAAGCCTTTGCAAACACGACGTAGCTAACGCCTCGGTGTTAGGAGCTTGATATGGAAACCACCGCCACACTACGGTACGGCCCGAACAGAACGTTCTCACCACGAAAAGCAAACATTCCATGTTACTGCAATTGGAAGTGCACTTCTGAATCTAATTGCGAGGAACAGATCAACGGGTTCCAGGATTTATCGAAGGATATGTGAGGAGGTTCTGGCAGGTATGTTTTTTTTCTTTCATCGATGGAGAGATGTGGTGAGATGATCTTCTTTGCTAATGGTAGTAGGCGAGGTATGAACATCGTTCGATGGATACATGGAGAAGCGGGTCTCTTTCATGCAGAGTATGCTAATGTTGGCATGATACAGTGAAGATCACCGGGGAACGCCCGAGGCTCCAGGACGTGTTGTCACTTTGATCGATAAAGCGCATTGGGAGACTCTGACAGACACTGTAAGTAATCGTCTTACCTCTCCCGTATCCACCCTATTCACCATATACGAACGCACTCAAGATGCCTCCTACCAGAAATCTAATAGCAAAATCCAGCATGAGTCCACGGGGCGCGTGTGGGGCGCTGCATACCATATTCCCGCCTCTCATGTAAAAGAGGTGCGCGAGTACCTCGACATCCGCGAGATAAACGGGTATTCCATTCAGTTCACGCCATTTCATCCTGCTATTAGTACAGCCGAAGTCACGTCCCCACCTCACGACTCGGAGCCGAGTGAAGCCGAAAGAGGCATGTGGGCGGGCATCCGAGCTACCAACACAGTGAGCGTGACTGAGGAGGCGGGAAGCATCAAGTGCCTGGTGTACATTGGGTTACCAGAGAATCCGCAATTCTTGGGCGCGCAGGATCCTGATGCTTTAGCGAGAAAGATACTGGAAAGTATGTTTGGTTTCGTTTTCGCGACTGTTGGGTTATTTCCTACTAGTAGACACCCCATGCTGATCCGGTTGCAGGCAAAGGACCAAGTGGCGAGAACAAGGAGTACCTTTACAACCTGGAGATTGCGTTGCTTGGATTAAGCCACAACAGTGGAGACGCTCACGTGAGCGATTTGGTACGACGGTGCAAACAATTGGAGCAGGAAGCTGGAGTCGGAAAAGAGGAAGGCAACAGTAGCACTCAAGGGTTGTACAGGGTAGGAAGCACGGAGGAACAAGAGGAGGTTGAAAAGTAGCATGGAGCACAGCGGACAAGTCCGTAATGTAACATCACCTGTGGCGATGCGCACTTGACAACAGGATCGAGCCAATCGAGGCCTCTGCAAAACGTCGCTCGGGCTATTATGATTACGAAGCAGATCGATCTGCATGCAACCACCAATAACGCCAGACAGATGGATAATGCGCTTAGAATATACAAGAAGAGAATGCTAGGGACTATGCCCATGCGCCGACTAGTGCCATTAACAACGCTCCTCCTACGACACTGGCACAGGCCTGCAGTCGCCGCTTCCCACGTAAAGTGACATAGCTTTCATCACTGAGAAAATCTTCAGCCAGGAGCTCCACCAGGCCAGCAAATAGCAGCAAGCCACTGGATATGGCGTTCATGAAACCTACGGTCAGTAAGCCAGCTTCACTTGCTGGGTCATACAGAGTGTGGATAGCTAGACCTATCGCCTGGCCGATCGGTGTAGTTGTTCCGTAAGCCAGAGCCATTAACCACGGTTTTGGAGAGCCCTCGGGGAAGCGGATAGCGCTGATCCTGGAGCCGAGTGCGAAGCCTTCGAAGGTTTGGTGGAAGGAGATAGCCACAAGGAAGACAATGAAGGCGGTGCCAGTGGCGACTGAGAGCGCCATACCTATGAAGATGGAGTGGAAGAGGATTCCAGCCTCTAGAAGGAGACATTGCAACAGTAACTTTTTATTCTGGGCTTCTGTCTTCTCCTGGTCGTCTTCGGACGACTCGCCGCCAGGTCGATGAGTGTGGTTCTGAGCACGGGGACCGGGCAGTAGGCGCGACTCGTCTTCTGAAAGCTCTTCGTTTTGGTGTTCCAGCTCTTCTCTGCTTATTTCAAGATCCGAGTCGTCGTCGTCGTCTAGAGATTTTTGGCCCAGGGGTTCGTTGGGTGTCATAGGCGATGCCAGTGAAAAGGACGGTGATCGGCCTGCCATCAGATTGGCTGATGATTCGACGTCATGCAGCATGATGCCCGGCACGTTGCCGTTCAATCTTGGTGTGCCGTTGCTAAACCTCCCATAGCTGTGGCTTCTCTTGTGACCGGGGCGTGCATTCGCATGGTGATGGTCTAGACCCAAGTCACCAGTTGAGTGTGAGTGGCCTGCTCCTCTTGATGCGAAGAACATCTCAATCCCTACCACCATAAACACCGATGACATGGCTATGAGACCCGGCATAGCCGGGTAGCCCTGGTTCCAGAATCTGGGAAGACATGGGTCGGTAAGGGACTCGAAGGCGGTGGGCAGGAGATGGACGAAGGCGGTCGCTATCAGGACACCGGTACCGAAGTGCCTAGATATAAAGAGGAATTGGTGCGGAACGGGTATCGAGGGAAAGCGCTTGACGACGATGGGAAAGGAGCAAGCTGCGACATGGTCAGTGGTGCACTCATGTGTACGTGAAGCAACATGCGCACCTGCAGTACTCAGCGTGAGTATCAAGAACAGCGCGAAGACATGTACAGGCGTATTATAGTATCCCTTGCCGCCCTTGCTTCCACATTCCGGTCGTTCCTCGTTCTCTTGCTGTCTTCGGAGCAATTCCGCGTGGAGGATATGCGCAGGTATTTCTGAAAGCCCTAAATCAGAGGAGCGCGGTTAGTGTTTGGATGCCACAGTCAGCAGAATAAGCACGCATACCTGCTGCAATTCCGTCTGCCTGCATTGCGGATGTTGACAGAGCTTCCGAGAGTTGAAGGTACGCGTGGTTCCATCGCGCTTGCCCAGTAGTCGCCGGGGGCCGGAGGCTCTTTATTCCTCGGCTCCTTCACCTATTCACACACTCTCCGGGTCCGCGTGTCGACGTGCCTTCTTCCCTCTGACTGCGAATTGCATCCGTACGCGTGTTTGCGGGCTTCACTCGCACCCGTGTATACAAAAAGTACTTCCGAGCGCGCCGGAAAGCCAAGAGTGCGTCATACCCGGTATCGTTTGAACCTCAGAGACGGCAACTCATCAAGACTCGACAATGCATAGGCTATCGCGCGCTCCGGCTACTGGTAGTGTCGGCTGTGGCGTCCTCGACTCCCATCTTGACTATTCTAGACATTCCAGACAGGCAACATGTCCATGGAACATCATGCAACCCTAGCCACTGGCCATGGATGGTACTATTTTTGATCCCTTTCGGTCCAAAGCCACCCGCGAATCCTATTGCCTACATATATAGACAGACCCTGTGCCGTCTGCCGTCTCACGGAATCATTTCGCATACCCGTCTGAGACCAGCATAGGGCGTCGCGCGTCTTCATCATCATTCGAGAGATTGGCATCGGCGGAGACACCCCGTCACACCCGACTTCGCTTCTGCAGCCTAACACGAATCGGGTCCTTGATAGTTTCACATCTCGCGCCCCTCCACCACCTCCAGTAACATCAAAGACGATACAGGCGCAGCCCGACATCGTCCCGGCAGATGTCAGAACCAAAATGGTGGTACTCGAGCATGGATTGGGAAAGTCTGGCCTAGTCACCACTCGCAACGTCTTCCCGGCTACACCCTGCTAAGCCCCACCATCTACCACATCTCAGAACAGGACAATTCGGCATATTGCTAATTCTGTGACGGGAAGAACCGCTCGAGGGCCCGAAGGAGCCACCCAAGGGAGACTTAGCGGCTTTAACCGACAATGTCTAATCAGCAAGACTTCTTGTTCGTCGATGCAGCTCAAGCAAAGACGTCTCGCCAAGGTCGCCGCAATGCTCGTTCTTTTGTCATGCAGAACGCGCGGAGGAAAAACCCTTGGTCTACAAGCAAACATGGTGCAAAACAAAGGAAAACTGGAAGTCCCGAAAGCGCAAGTCCTAACAGTACATGTGCGTCAACGCCAAAAACAACCACGCCAAGCCCACCAATTGTTGCGAACAAGTCTGACTACTTTTCCTCCCCAGAGTCCAAGGGCTATACAATAGTCAGAAAGGACGTTTGTCCAGATTGTCAGATTTTTCTGTGTCGCCCTGGTGAGAGGCTATGCCAAAGATGTCTTTTGCTCAAGCCTGCGGCGCCTGCAGAAGACCCAAACAATCAATTATTCGACCCTTTTCGGACATCGTCTGTCGAAGTTACCCGCAGCGTATCGGAACTGTTGAAGCATTGTAAGTGACAATCCCTGCATCCTTGTTTGCATCGACGTTTCCCAGATTGTCGGGTTCGTGACACGGCAACGCTGCCCAGCATGCTGGCTAAGAGCGTAGTGCAATGGCGGGGAGAGCGCAGAGTCTAGACTGTAGTCGATTGCAAGGCGTCAAACAGCCCGATGGGTGGTGGTCTTGGTTTCCGTACGCTGACTAGTATTGTGTAGTTTCAACGGAGATGGCGCCCGGTATCATCGCAGTCGACGTTCGGCATCGGTCGACCTTGATGAAGTCGGACTGGTTTGGTATAGCAATCGGTAACTCAGGGTTCATGCACAGCCTGCTCGCTACGATTGCGCTACACGCCTGGGTATTCGGGAAAGACACGATTGATGCCGTCTTATATCATCGAGCACAGGCTATTGCTGCTGTTAATGCCGCGATACTGACACCGGATGGCGTCTCGGATGCGAACATAGGCGCAGTTTTCAATTTACTCACCATAGAGCAGGGACTCCGTCTGCCATGTTTCGAGCTGCATGAAGACCACGCAGCCCAACTCGAGATTCATGAGAGAGGTTTGCAAAGAATGGTGCAGTTGCGTGGAGGATTACGAGCAATCAACACAAATCGCATCCTCCAGGCTTTTATGCTTTGGTGTGTAGCTTAAACTCCCACGTTCTGTCCCGAACCGGGTTGGCATGTGCTTACTGAGCATCAGGCATTCGACCGCTCACGCCATCTTCAACTTCCAACCACCAAGCCCCTCTACATTGGATTTCATCAGCACGTCCGGTTTCCCACATCATCCTCCAGGCTACCGGCGGCACATCTCACAGCATCTAATCGACTACTGCCGGCATGCTGGTATCAAAGACTCGCTCAATGCCCTGGTGGAATCGGTGCTCTTCCTGATAGCCGATCTCAACGCCTGGTTCAGTGACCCTGAAAGTTTCTTAGACCCTCTTGATATTCAGAACTTCTCGTGTGCCTTGGAGTGCCTCCTACTTACATGGCTACGTGAAAACGAACATCTTGCTACCCCACTTGAAGATGCGCTTTGCGTTGCGTTGCTCATATTCACGGTGCGCACGACAGAAGCATTCAATCAGCAGTCTCACGTTCACCATCTTCACTTTGCGGCAAGCAAACGATTAGAGAAAGCGTTGAACTGTACCATTCGTACTGAATGGCAGAATTGCCCCGACCTTCTGCTCTGGATACTCTCTATTGGCGCGATATCAGCGGAGCCCTCACCGGATAGCACATGGTTTGTGTATCAAACATCGCTCGCTTGTGCAGAATTCGACATCCTTTCGGCCGAAGCGCTTCTCGAACGACTACACCTCTGCGGCTGGGTCAGCTACAAGCTCAATGACGCTGTATGTCATCTATGGGACAGGGTTGTTAATCTCAGGTTAGATGACCGTACATTCTTGCCTATGCATTCGTTTGCTTATACTTGAGTTTGTCTTGTACGTAGGCTTGCGCCATTCTTCGAAGCACCCTCGAAAGCTGAAGACGCCAATAGTCCTGTTGGACCGTTGCAACAACACGTTGCCGAACCGGACCTCAACGCGTGGGAGAGCATTGACTGGGCCGCGCTGAGCCTGGGTCTGGATTATCCAAACGAAGGGAATGAAAATAATCCCAATGATCGAGGTGCGACAGTAGAGACTTGCGGCACTGGAGCGACAGACGAATCCGTGTATACCTTTGGCAGCGGCTATGCTTTTACGTGTACGTATAGCCTCAGCCGTTTTGAGATCCCACTAATGCATGTATCAATGGGTGCTGATGATCTTGGCGAATATACAGGGCCCACGACCCAGCATTCATACCCACCCTGGATGAACGAATCGCATAGTCACCACGAACAATAGGCCAAACTTTTCATCGTTGCTAGATTGTTGCCTTGAAGTGCACACATCTGCGCTTGGTCAATTGATCAACAGCACTCCAACTTGGGTCAATTTGACGCTCCACACCGTGATCGAGCCTATCGTAGCAGTGTCCCGTTTGGTGTGTCAAGCCATTCATATAAGTTACCCCCTCGTGCAGTATCGGTTCGTCCTTATGTTTTTCACTCAGTTGGCTATGGTGATCGAGATGTGTCATTATTCTCACATCTACAGACTTCTCAATAGGCTGTGATGATGGCGTTACTCAGTTCTCATGCTGTTAGGATCTCCTTATGGCAAGAGAGGAGACAGACTATGGGCGTCTTCAATGCTGGGCCCGAAAGAATCTTCCGATACACACAGGTCCTCGATGTCGTTCTTATGTCAAGTATGCACTTTGGTGTCCCTTGATCCACAATTCTCAATTCCTGTAGAACGTTACCGGTCTGATAGATTTAGCCGTGGTACGGCATTGCTCTAGTCAAGCGCCGACACATCCGACACGTTACCGTCAGCTGTAGCTGACCAATTTGATTTCTTCCCACTCTTCGCATCTATCAGCGTATCAGGCGCAGACCTCACGTCATAGTAACCACTACGAGCTCAGAAGGAGATTGATGGGTTCAGAGGTGAAACCTCAAATTTTTTCGAAGGAGGTACTCAGCTCTTACATTCACCGATTCTCTACTGTGAACGTACGAGTAGTCACAATGTGTGTATGTATAAGATCACACGGCCCTCTTTCGGACAACTATGTAAATCTTCCTCTTCCTTATTTTTAGGGAAAGAACCAAGTTGAACTCAACCCCAACATCTCCGCCTCCGTCAGAGTTGTTCTTCAACTTTCCTTCTTGATCATCTAACGGCCACGAAAACCCCTACCTTTGTTGTACTCTCTCGATTGAAAGACACAGCTACCAACCAATAGTGTCCGCGAACTATGGCCAAAAGCATCTTCATTACACTTCCAAACGACCTCTTGGACCAAATCTTTGCAGATGTGGACCGCGAAGATTTGATAAACCTTATCAAGACGCATCGATCTTTCATGGAATCCGCTCAGTGGCACTTGTTCCACACAATCAACCTTCCAGCACAATCTACCTTGGCCAAACCTTTTGTCAAATATGATAACGAGATTATCTATGCATCGCAAATCACGGAATACACACGACGGGATCCAGATCATAATCGACATCTTGACGCAGGGCCCTCGATCTTACTACCGATACCAGATGCTCAGATGCCACCAGACTACAAACAGGAGAAGGCCTACAAAAGGTTGATGGATCGACAGCGTACTTGTGCTCTGATCCTGCAGGCTATCACATTGACACCGCACCTGGCAGACTACGTCCGTCACGTTCAGATAGATTCTGAGTGGGGCTCACCACTCTTTGTCAATTCTCAAACTTGCACCATACTCAACAAACTACCGAAATTGCGTAGGGTCGAAATCGTTATCAAAGACTGGGTGGCAGGTCGAGAATGGATCCCAATTCAGCAAGTTTGTCTACAGCAGCTATTCGACATGCTTAAAGACCTCCAAATCCCAACAATCGTTTTGAAGACACCAACGCTCAGGATTCTGAGCAAACTGATGCAGATACCCGCCATCCGGTCTTTCGCAATCGACACCGTTAAGAAATCTCAGGAAGATTATCACCCGTTACAGTTTGAGCCTACTATCCTTCCTAACCTTACATCCTTCGATTCTAGGAATTTCACAATAAACCCTGCTAAGATGGTAAAACTGCTCAGTCAGGTCAAAAACCTCCAGTCACTGCTCATCGCCACCCATGAGCCCTATGTCCGCCCAATGAATTTTGAGGTTGCCAATAGTACCTCGATCGTATCCACTCCAGGTATTCTAAAAGCGAGTCTGGGGCCTAATTCTTCCTTGAAAGAATTAGCACTGCTAGAACCGGCGGGCGAATATCTTACAGGGACTCGTTACTTTCGTGACCACCTCCACCCTACTATCAACGCCAATTTCTCGTTCCTCAAACACCTGCGAATCCTGAAGATCACCTCAGCCTTTTGGTACAATCGCCATTTCGACCTACCCAGCGCACCCGAGAACGGCTGGATGTGGAAGAAACAGGACCGCTGTGCTGCTCGCGTGTACAACTTCCTCCCTCCGTCGCTCCGCGAATTGGAAATCCAATTCATGTGGCCCGAAGCTCTTTTCGCCGCGGGCTTTGGCTATCACACACAGTTTCCTTTGACACCTCAGGCTACCCAGTTGAAGGGTTTTGAATGGATCAAGGAATTCGCGGAGCAGAAGCAACGTAAGAAAGGTGTTTTGCCAGAACTGGAATGCCTTAGATTGGTCGAGGTAAAGGGATCGATCGTCGGTGGGGGCCCTAAGATGTATGCCACGAATACCTATTCACCACCGGAAGTGATGAGGGAATTGTTTGAGAATGCTGGGATTAAGCTTGTCATAAAGCTTTTAAGTGAGTTAGCGAGCGAGTGGTAGCGCAAGTCACATGATGAACTTCCATGCTTCTAAGTGTATCAAGGTTGTATTTCTGTCTATCGTACCGAGACAAATGGTGGCTCTACCGCTTTAGTACAACCAATCGAAAACGGGGATTTACCTCCTCTTTATATCAGCTCAAGACTTCCCATGCTTGATAGCCCTAATTTGGATCTTCAACTTGATGCCTCTATCCCCAAACGCCCTTTTCAATTCCAGCGGCGGGTCCCAGTCAAGGACCGAATCACAATGATAACGATCACCTGTTCTACTTATGCGTCTTCTATCGGCTGGCACCAGTCCCTCAAGTACCTCGACATTCTTCAGATGAGGAAGTTGTGAAGTATCAGGAGTAACGAGCTCATATATCCAATTCCACGCTGGTTTCATCCTCATCTTCGCTTCGTCGGAGGTCATACGGAAGAATGCTGCGCGGTAGCCCACGCCAACAGCAAAGACGGCAGACGTGCTATTGAAGTCTATACGAAGGGAAGATAGAGATGGAGGCAGTAAGTCGACGACGGACGGACGCATAATCTCCTCGCGCTTCCACAAAAAGCCTTGAAGGCCTTCATTGCTGCGGCCGAACCACAAGCTAGCGGGTATATGTAGTCGCTTGAGAGCGGTGAGACCTGAGAAGGGCATGCAGGGGAGTTGTTCCTGCTGCCATTGGCATACTGGATCTTCAAGTATTGTCATGTCCGTTAGGGTTTTGGTTGCGTGAATCAAGCGCTTGGCTAAAGTGATCGTGGTATCAAAATGAAGTAAGTAGTATTTGATGTCGAATTCTCGCAAGACAATGTTTGCATACTGCTGGGCGATGATTGGTGAAGAACGAAGCATGCAGTCGTTGAGGATTAGACTCAGTCCAACTTTTCGTTGTGGCTTCAATGTGTTGAGCATATCCATGAGCGTAGAGTAGTCCTGGACGGCTCCCCGGACCTTTTCCTCGAGATTCTCGATCATGTCTTGATGCTGACTATCAGGAAAGGGGCGAGCGATGATCTTGAGCGTGACGTGTTGGATTGCCGGCAGGCAGTTCAACACTTCCTGCGTTGCATCTGCTAGACGAAATTGTGCCCGGCTGTCAAAGACAAGTTCAAGATAGCGTATCGGTCCAACGAGAGTGTTGCCGGATCCTGTCTCATCTTGGCTGCCATGAATGCTGTCCACAAGCTCTTTGCATGCTTCTTGTGCACCGTTCCCGCGTATAAGAAGTCTTCGAATACTATGGCGCACTGCATTGGCTGGTGGAGCAAACTTTGAGTGGGCTTTGCTCAAATGTTTGAGCGTGTCGTCGTCGTCTATGAAATACTCAAATACGTATGCGAGGAGTTCGATCGGGATTGTAGTAAGAGTCAGAGAGGACATGTTTCTTCTGGGTCAAGTGAAGATGGTCAGGGTTGGTTGCCTGGAGGATATAATACTGGGGGACTACGGTAGATACCGATTGCTGTGATTGGCCAGCCGTTAGTCTCTTTCCCCCTTGGTCACCGCGTCTACAGATTCTTTCCATCTTTGGTCACCGCGCTGTCTGGACCTTGCATATAATGCATAGTCGTTGTTCAGATCCGCATTGCCAGTTTCGGTAACGAGAACCTTTCCATAGCCGATGGATGACCTATAAAAGATGCAAAACTTGTTGTCAAGTTGTTCATTTCATTCTCTCTTTGGTACAAACGTAAATGTGCCGCACTCTAGGCAGTCAACTGACGGAAAATGCAACCAACTATGCAAGAAATCGAACGCTAATTCATGCAAAAATCGACAAACATATAACCAGGCCATATCAAATAAGCTCAGCGACCAGATAAGCAATCATAAGCTGCTTTCGTTTTTTGTGACCAGCGCCGAATCAAAATGCTGATTTCAATGCTTTCCCACTCCTGTATACGCCATAAATGCAATCAATGTATGAGCAAACGATCATAGACTAGCCTCCGTACTACCATCGTCGAGGTCCTCGGGATTTGCGACATTAGCGTCATCGTCGTTGTCCTCATCCGAAGTGCTGCTATCATCGTCATCAGCATCATCTTCGTCATCGTCGTCGTCTTCATCCTCATCGTCCTCATCTTCGTCGTCTTTTTCTACTGGCATACCGGGTACGGGCCGCCATTGCACGTAGTCGTGCTCGACCCAGCGCTTACTGCGCGGAAGCACATATGGGTCGAATGGAAAGTACGCATCCATTAGGAAAGCCTCTTCACCCTTTTTGCCAGTGAGAGCAGTCTCTCGGCCGCCAATACCATTGAGATAACCACTGGCCAGACTGCGAGAGAGTCGCACACGCTTATTTGTCTCTACCAGAGTATCGACGTAAGTGAAGCGGAGGTGCTTAGCAATGCGGCCGAACTGCTTGACAATGTCTGGTGCGCAGATTCTGAGTGGATTGAGTTTGCAGAAGATGTTACGCCGTACGATTTCGAGGGTTGACCGGTGCCACTGGAAGTCGCCTTCGTGGTACATGATGTCTGCATCAGTAGGCAAGGTGCCGTCGGGCGTGACAATGAGGTCGCGCCACCGGAAGCAGAAGGCATACAATAGTGCCTGTGCGATGGCGTAATAAGTGCCGTACCGGCGTAGATCCGGGCCGATGCACTTTGGTTCGTGCAGTACACGCAGACGCTCCAATTGCGAGCAAAGTGTGTCAAAAACGTCGCGGACCACAAAGCCCGGAACGTGAGCGCCACGCGCGATGTAGGAGGCGAGGTAGGCACATGCGGATGCTCGTATTAGTGGGGGTCGATTTTGGTCGACAGCTAGTTGCGAGCAGGTATCCACGAACCGCACTACGAAATCCGTTGACATCTGACTGAAATGGAAAAGCACGAACTGAGTATGTCGTGAGCGGTAGGTTGGGATGATGATGGACTGGAATTGGGCGATAAGGGTTTGGTATGTGCGGTCCATCTCTTGAAGGTCTCTCCGTTCGAAGATTGAGTCGTAGTAGGAGAATTGTACGTCCATGACGGTATCGAGCTTGAGCATCATGTCTTTGATATCCTTGAGTCGTTGCTCCTCTGGATCCAGACTTTCCTCGCTTGATACGGAACCGTCGTCGCTCGCGTCGTCATCGTCTTCTTCGTCATTGATGGCGTCGCCCACCAGTTGCTCCTCCAAGTCGTCGTCCATGTCATCCATGTCCACCTGCATCTGCGCATCGATCTTGCACAGCTTATCAGTTACAAGTGCCAAGATCTCGCCCTTGATCTCTGGCGCATACTCTGTGACCCTGAAGATGTTTCGGATATACTCGACGTGTGTCTTGGCGCTGTCGTTGGAAAATGGGAAGGTGCTGGAGATGACGGGTGCGAGGAAGGAACTCGCCATTGGACTGTAACGTAGTAATCCCATGAGGGTCTCATGTATGCGCGCTTGTAGGCGTACTCTTTGGATGGGCGGGTCGTCCTGCTGCCTAGCGTTGACGGACGGCGTGTTCAGAAACATGTCGACAAGCATCTGCAGCACAGTAGACATGTAGCTGGATTGAACCGAGAGCAGCCTACGCAGAAAGATTCGGTAGGAGCGTAGGAAGTCTTCATTGCGCGCAATCCAGCTGCAATCGATGACGGCGTGCACCAGGCCCTTGCAGTTACTGTCGAGTTTTGGCGTGTGCTCCGAGAGTGCGATGACGTATTTTTGCAAGAGTCGTGATAGCGGTGCACTTGCTGATGTCGGCGGTTCCTTGAAGAGGGCCTTGAGACCGTCGTAGGCTGCCTTCTCGCCTGTCGCATGCTTCTCTATTGCTCGCCGTACCTCCTCCCCCACTAGCTCCAGACTCTTCTCATGGTGCTCGCTCAGTATGCGTACGTCGACTTCGGGATCGAATGTGACTCGGCGGCGTTTGAGTTGATTTGGGGCAGTGTTTTCGGCGTCGGACGAGTGATCGGTTTGTTTGCGTTTGAGGCTGCCACCCGCGCTCGGGGCGGCGGTGCTGAGAGTCCTGTTCATCGTGGCAATAGCGACCATGTTGAGTGGAAATGGATGGCGAAAGGTTTACATTTGAGCAGGCACGTGAAACCTAGAGAAGCGTCGTCTGTCGGGTGGGTGGTGAAACTGGAAGTGAGGACGGCGGGGGTGAATGCACGCGACTGTGCTGCAGTATTGAGCCCCGAGAGAATTTCAGCGGGTCACTTAGGTAAGCCAGACCTTTTCACCATGGTTCGCCGATCCACCACCAATATCACTGCAAAGATCCAAGAGGCATGTCTTTTATTGGTCTTTAATTGTATGTCAGATTACAAAGATATAGTCTCTTCGCCGCATCCTACAGCGGCTTGCATCTGGAATGCTCAATCACAGATACGCAAGAATTGATAGCAGACTTGCAGCTTGAGCTGGCCCCACCATGTCTTGCCATTCTGTGAGCTGCGGTTGGGCCAAACAAATGCTTCCTAGGCTTCCTATGGGTTCTCCAAATGTCACCTACGATCTTGCCTCTCGGAGGTGGGTGTGGCAGGCTCTTATGCTGGCTGAATACACGAACGGTCATGTCCATGTTCACATCTCACCGCATTGCGCAATAGCGATATCTTGCACTGGCTTTCCTTCTGGGTTCGCTACTGTCCGTGTGTTCTCAATCTTGGTGACAACGTCCATGCCTTCAATGACATTTCCGAAGACAACGTGCTTGCCGTTCAGGTGAGGGGTGCCGTTCTTCGCAGTGATGATGAAGAACTGGGAACCGTTGGTATTGGGACCTGAGTTCTAGGTCTGTTAGTGACGTGCTTGGCTAGGCGGCTTACATGAACCTACAGCCATAGATAGAAGACCAGGTTTGTCGTGCTTCAACGTAAAGTTCTCGTCGGCAAACTTTTCGGTTCCCCAAATGGTTCTCGAGCCTGTGCCATTGCCGTTTACAAAATCGCCGCCTTGGATCATAAAACCTTTGATCTACAATGGTCAGTATGATCAAAGTCAAAACCTCTAGTACTGCGACTTTTGATGGCACTTACGACGCGATGGAACTTGCAGCCTTTGTAGCCTTGTGGCTGCCCTCGACTGTTCTTCGTCTCTCCAGTGCAGAACTGGCGGAAATTCTCAGCCGTCTTTGGAACTACATCTTTGAACAACTCCATCTTGATTCTACCGAGCTTCTCCCCTGTTTTCGCTTATGTCAGTCACCATGGTCGGGTCGCGGGGCGTTTGTCCGACTGTGGGCTAGGCCAAGAACGACGCGTAGCAATGGCGCGGGGTGAGGGGTAAAGAGACTATCTGGGTCACATGGGTGGATGCATACCTCCTAGGGTGATGTCGAAGAAGACGATTGGGTTGGGCTCGGCAGTCTCCGCCATAGTTGCAGTGCTTAAAGATTGGAACTAGTGACGTTAGGTGGGCTTTTGCAGCGACGGTGAAGGAGTCGTGCGGTAACCGAAGAACAGCGATCTGTCTAGATAATTCCCAAGATGTGCCGAGGAGAGAAAATGATGCAGAAAGCAGGGGAATTGGGCTGCTGCAAGTGGTGGACGATGTTCATGTGGATACTCGCAGATTGTTAGCGGCCGGGGAAGACTCCACTCGGAGAGCAGGGATCCGACATGTCTACGCAACACGGCCGGCTTCGATCTGAGATTGTACACTGCGGCTGAGATATGGGACTCGGAGCGAGTCGTAGTAGTAGTGATAGTAGTCATCGAGCGCAGTCTCATCTGTCAGGCGTCCGGGGGGGTCAGCAATTTCTTAGATGTGATAGCACCTGCATGCGACGGCATCAATGCGGGCGACGAAACCCTGCTTGGAGGCGCATTGCGTGGACACTGTCTGTGACACATGCATGGTTCAATAGCAAGCAACACCCAGCGCACCACCATCTTGCAACCAACTTCACAGTTCACCATTGCTCGCCACCAGCCACTGCAAGACGCCCCAGTTGCGTTTGGTAAGACGGGTAGTGTTATCATAGATGGTCCTGGTTGCCGGTCATCCTTGGCACCTGCCGTCGACGTTAGCGACGCCTTTGCGGCCTTTATCCGCCTCAAGACCGGCACCTCGCCCGTTCTGACACTCGGCGACCCATCCACTGCCCTTCACCACCCCAACGAGTCCAGAGTCTGTCGCGCAGCCATTTGCACTGTCCGCATCGCATGGCCGATAACAGTGCTCTTGTCATTAACCGCTAGCGATTGTGGCACGGGCAGTCACCGCGAGCGACCATAGCCTCCAAGAAGCCGACTCTCCATCGCCACAGCCGCAGTCGTTGCCGTCACCATCAACTGATCCCATCAACCACACCGGCCCTTCTTCCAGCCTAGCCCGCCGCCGCCGCCTCGACGATATCGCAACCACCACTGCCGTCGATAGAGCGTGTACCTTCGTAGTGCCGAGTTGCCCCCCTACTTGTTTCACGTGTACCAGGGCTCTCCGTATCCGGCCAACTCCCCACGTACACGCGCATCGTTGCTTCGCGCCTCTCTGCAGCTGCGTGAGCAATCCTGTCCGTGAACGGAATAGCAGAGACGCCGCTATCCATCATGTCCAACGTCCTTGTCTATCCGAGGCAGAACGCACCTGCCCCAACAGATGGCTCCAACAGCAACAACAACAACAACAACAATAATAGCAGCGGCCCCACCAGTTCGCCGCTGCTTTTCTTCGTTGCCCTGGGTTTCGGTGTCGTCTTCACAAACTTATGGTAGGCGCTGGCAGTTGGTTTCGCAACTGCTACCTCTTACTGACTGCTTCAGGATTATCGTCGGCGTCAAGTATTGCTTCCGATATAATCGTCGTCGCGCGGCCCAGGCTGCCGCAGATGGCGAACCAATTGACATGACCAACATGCCTCGCCCGCACAGGAGGAGGAGGGAGAAGAAGCTGATGACCATGGACGAGGTCAATGAACGATTCCCATTGACAAAGTATAAGCAATGGAAGTCAAGTCGCGAGACCGAGGGTTTACCAGCCAACGGCGGCATCGCGACTGCGCCCCAGAGCAGAGCAGCAAGCTTGAAGGATGTCGAGGGCGTCATTAGTGCGCAGGACGAAGGCCCGGGACCGAGAACCGACACTGCACTCTCAATGGCCCGCAACGATCTCAACGCCCCAAATTCCTCTACCCAGCCTGCAGCCTCTCCGAGAACGAGCATGGAAAGCAAGAAGAGCCAGCACGTGCAGGACGCTGAGAAGCAAGCCGAGGTCAAGTTGGGCACAGAGAAGACGGACAAGGCTCAAGGACAGAGTGCTACTCCACAAGCAAACGTGCGCGAGCGTGAGGACGACTCAGATGACGATGAAGAGGATCCCATACGCACTGCTGCTGCACCAGAAATGTTGGCAGAGCCAGGAGACACATGCGCCATCTGCCTGGACACCTTGGAAGATGACGACGATGTACGCGGACTGTCTTGTGGCCACGCCTTCCACGCCAGCTGTGTTGACCCATGGCTGACGAGCCGCCGTGCCTGCTGCCCTCTTTGCAAAGCTGATTACTATGTTCCGAAGCCTCGTCCCGAAGGCGAAGTCGATCCTGTTACTGGTCGCCGTTCAGTCGCCGGTCTTCGGTCGCCACCGCAGGCCGTTTGGACGACTAGCAACCCTTTCTCTAGGTCTCGCGTCATGGTCATCAATGCAGACTACCAGCAGCGACAAGGCGTTGACCGGTTCGGGCGGTTGAATCGGCCTACTCGCCGTGAGCGTGTACATGGGGATGCATCGCAAGTGACAGGGCAGACTGGCCATAACCAAGGCTGGCTATCCAGGATGACGCCCAATCGAACACAAGGCTCTCCCTTCTCAAGCTGGTTTGGTCGTAACCGTGGCGCTGCTAGCACTGCGGACGCTTCTGGCCCACAGCAACCAACTCCAGGACAACTCGAGGCCGGTAACCGGTAGATGATGTCATTCCGTTGTTCAGATCTCTCAAGTCTTTCTCACGCCCAATTACGATTACCCATACCCACCTTTCCGTGCTCCCTATCTCATGCGTCCCAGTGAAAGCCACCATGTTTTTTTTTCACTTTTCCCTAACATTCTCGGCGTTTCTCCATCCATACCATCAGCCACTTTTCGCCTCGGAATAATTTCACTCGCAACAGTACCTATCAAAGCATAGCGAGAGGGTTTTCTCGATACAGCATTTGGCAGGCGACAGCGGAACGGAGTATATACGGATTAGTTGCGAATAGCGATATGGTCATGGTTCTATATAGGGGGTGGGACTACCTACATTGTAGATGTCATGTTCTACAGCTTTGCAGGCGCAATAGCGTCGAGCGAACGGGAGCCTTGCAGCACGTTGTTATGTAGTATGTGTTCGGCCATTTTCGATATTGAAGAATACTATGTATGGAACATGAGACGTATAACGCAAGTGAACTATCTTCCGTTTCGTTGTCGTTGGCTCTCATCACCATCACCTGAGTCCATGTCCCGATCATAACTGGGCGACAGGTGGGGTATTTCATCGTATTACGTTCGGATCATGTCCTTAAGCTCTTGTATGTGTGGTTCGGTAGACACTAAATCATCAGACATTCAAGTCAGTAGAGCTCAATCTAAGTCGCTCGACGGCATTTGACCTAAACCGAGGGTGCAGCCTTCCCAATCCATGAACGCCATCACACGATCATAAATCATCCAGGCCCCCTCAACCGAACAGTACCCCCCCTCATCTCCTCATCCGCTCCTTCGTCATCTTCTTCTTCGCCCTCAACATCCTGTAACCGCATTGCCCTCAGCAGATCTCTACTAGCCCTCGTCCCATCCCTCAATTCGACCGCACTCTTGAGCAACATGTCCGCCAAAACCCTGGCGTCCATGTCCACGCCTAACAGCGCCCCTACCTCAGGACCGGTCGGAATGGGAAACTCTACAAGCGGCTTCCCGTTTGGACCGACGCTAACGGTTGTGGATTTTCGGCTGTAGCGCGGAGTATCGTGTTGATCGAAATCCGAGGATGAAGAGTACTGGTTACTGTGGTGGTACGACGAGTCATCGGTATCGGAATCGAGATTGTACGTCGTGGAAGTAAGGGTTGTGGATGTAGAGTCGTTTCTACGTGAGGAACGGAGAGGGGCTGATGGCTGGCCCATTGGACGCCGTTGCGCTGCAAGGTTGAGGCGTTCGAAGGTGTCCCAAAGGTCGTCGACATCTTCTTCTTCGAGGGAGGTGTCGGTTGTTACGCTCATGGGAGGAGATTGATCGTCGCTGCTGAGTCCGTATGCCATGTTGTGTGACCAGCCATCCCAGATTTGCTGAGAGCGCTGATTACCGCGGTGGTATTGACCAGAAGTGGGTGCTGGTTTCGCGTGTGATTGTACCTGGCTTGCTGAGCTGACCCCTCGGGCGTGCATACTGGGATGGTGTGGATCTTGGTTTGTAGGATGACCTTGTTCATCGTATTGTTGAGGTGTCAATAATCCTGGCACCGCATGGTTTGGTTCTGATTGCGACTTCATGTGAAAGGAAGCGCGGTGGTTATTTTGTGATAGTTGTACCTGGTCTTCGAGGTTGAACGGATTATCGTTCATACGCTCTGTTCCTGCTGTAAGGATCTCAGAGCCAGAAGTGGACGGACGGTAGTCTTCTACCATCGCCATATCCAGATCAATCATGGACGAGCGCAGCGGAGAATTGGGCGCAGAGCTGATCATCTCAGGATAGTCATTGTCATCAACAGCAGGCTGAAGTGGTGCTGTTTGAGCATGGCGCAGGTTTGGTCGGAAGCCAGATGCAAGGCCTGGCGAAGAAGAGTCCGTCTTGGTGTGCTGGCTGCGATACGGCTCCGTCGGACTACCCATTGGGAAGGCAAAGTCTCGAGTTTTGCGATTGTCGTCCTGCTTGGGAAACGTCCACTCCTTCGTCTCACGTCGCCGTGAAATCCGATTCGAAGCGCGGTTCCTTGGGGCCTCATTGTTGGCTTCTGCCATTGCAGCGTCGAATGTCCATTCCACCGTACGTCGGTTGGGCTTTTGAGGCTGCTGTGGGAAGGACCACTCCATCGTCTTGCGGTTAGGTTGCTCAGTGGCTCCTGGAAATGACCATTCCATAGTCTTGCGGTTAGTTTGCTCATTGCTTCCCGGGAATGACCATTCCATCGTCTTTCGATTCTCGTCATTCATACTGGGGAAGGTCCAGTCTTTCGTGGCTCGTTTCGTCATCTCGTCCTCCTCGTTGAAAGCATCCCGGCGCTCCTCTTCCTCTTCCATCTCCCGTATGATGCTCTTCATACGATTCGCACGGATGGTGGGCACTTCGCCCAGGTCAATACTTGGTATCTCATCTGCTGACGGCATTGAAAAGTCCAAGTCAATGACCGTCTCACGGTTGGGCGCGCCAGGGTTGAAGTCACGTAAAACCAAGTCAGATGGAGGGCGCCCGTTCGGCGGGTCCGGCATATCGACGGCACTATACCTGTATGGCGTCGTGTTTGTATCGAATAGTTTGTTCAGACGTTTCTGTCCTCTAACAATAGACTCTTCCTTGAACCTAGCCTGGAGCTGCTCGAATCGTCCCATATCCGCGACAGGTGGTAGGCCCATTCCATTGAAGCCTGCTCCGCCAGCAAAGGGGTCAGTAAATTGTGTTGCATGTTCTTGCTCGAATTCTTCTGATGTGCTGAAAGACCAATCATCGTCGTCGTCATCTTCCGCCTCTGGGGCAAGCGGGTCTGGCGCTTGAGCACCGTATGGGTTGAATAGCGACTGGCGTGTACCACCTTGTTGCTCCCAGAGGTAGTAGTCTTCGACCAGCTTGACGAGCGATACAGTCGGGTACATCTTAGTGGTATCTGCAAGATAGGGGTGCTCCAAAATTTGGTCAGGCGTCGGTCGATCTTGTGGCTCTGGTTGAAAGACGAAGGCTAGGAAATCTTTCAGTTCTTGAGAAAAGCGATCGCCTTCAAGCACAGGAACACCAGCTGTTGGCAAATCGAATTGCCCGATCTTGTGGTGCGGTGGGTAGCCACAAGCCATCTCATAGACAGTACAGGCATATGCCCAGATGTCAACCTCGTTGCCGTAAGATATCTCCTTAGGCTGCATCAAACTGTGCGGATCTGCATCCTTTACCCACTCCTTCTGCAGTTCAGGGGCCATCCAGAAAGGTGTACCAACGATAGTGGAGCGCTTCGATCTTTCAGGTTCCAGGGTGTTGGAGACACCGAAATCGCATAATTGCACACGACCGTCTTCGAGGATAAGAACGTTGTTGGCTGTATGCATTAGCCGAGGGAAGGAATGGTAAAGACACCATCACCTACACTTCAGATCTCGATGCAGCACGCCTGCTTCGTGTATATACTTGAGACCTTGGGCCAGCTCACGAGCGATGGGTATGATGAATTTCTCGGCCAGTCCAGGACCCGGGTCCTTCGTCATGGCTGTGGGCTTCATCAGGGTATTGACGCTACCACCGCTTGCATATTCGCTGACGATCCAGAGTTCGTTGTGTACAGGTCTAGCCTCCTCGATGATGTTGACGTAAGGCCTTGCCTTGCTGTCTCTTAGCTGCTGCAGGATGTCAATCTCCTTGAGTGTGTCCTGGAGATTCTTGTGTGTCATTTCCTCGTAATCCACCTTGTCGATCTCGATAATCTTGATGGCAACGAGCGCACCGGTATTGCGGCTCTTTCTTTGTCATGTCAGCGAATGTACTCGGCCTTACATCGTGATACCCACCCTTTGTAGACACGACCGTATGCGCCCTTGCCAATGAGCTCGTAGAAGTCATATGGCGGTGGTTCCTCACCACCTCGCTTCGCTCTCTCAGCAACCAGAAGCTCCATGTCCTTTGCCTGCTGCATGGCACGCCCCTTGGTACCACCCATGTTGGGCGGCTGCAGTCGTGCAGGCTCCATGTCTTTTAAATATTTGTGAACCTTGCCAACCCTTGGTGGTTCAATTCGGACGTCTTCCGAAGGCTCGAAAGGCGATTCTGCTATGCGCTCCAAGGGGCTGTCTTCTAGGGTACCAGTGATGCTCTCGTAGCTCGTTGAAATTGGAAGAGGCGGCGGGGGACGATCAGGTTGACGTGGCCGCCTACCAGGAGAGACGTAGTTTGTGGGATCGGAGGCAGAGTATGAGTGTCTTGCGGTCGGGTTAGGCGGACTAGGCTTGATGGTGCCTGGGCTGGATCGTGCTATAGGTCGTTGTGGGCCCGGTGTTGATGGAAGGACAGCGTCGAGCCTCGGCTTGGGTGTAGGTGGGCACAGCGGACTTTTGTGGTCTAAGATTGGACTCGAGATATCACGCTTATCGACAGAAGGCGTGCGTGAAGAGCGCGACGAGCGTGACGAGGGACCTCTCTTGCCTTTGATTGATTCAGTTAGCTTCGACCACGAGATGGAGCGACTGGACCGTGTCCTGCAATCTGGCGTCTTGTGTTTGGCTGGTGAGCGAGGCGGGGTCACGTCACCCATAGGGATGAGGTGATTGCTCTCGCTCATCGACCGCTTCAGCTTTATGATGGCGTCGTCGCCGAGCATGGTTTCGTGGTGTTATTGCGGCATGGTGGTGTTTTGAACAGAAATCGCACTCACTCGTTTGTTATGATATTCTACGTTGGTCACCAGAGGTGAATGCGGCTCATGGCGGGCAGGGTCGCGTGCGGTGAGCGTGCGTGTTCGTTGACATTCACAGGTCCGCACTGCGGAGAGAGGAGCACCTGTCAACGAGATGCAATTACAATTAAGGTAGCAGAGTAAGCGGAGATGTTAGATGGAAGCGAAGCGAAGGATTGGACAGTATAGAAAGATGGGACGACGATGCCATCTGGCAGACGTTCAAAGTGTTGAAGATGCGAAACATGGATCCAGGGTCTCAACGTTTCGCCCGCTGATCGCGCTAAGACAACCTTAATCCATCCGGGGCAAGCGCGCCCCACGTTTCCGTGCCTGACATCATCTGCGCCACATGTGCGACAGGCATAGCAGCTTGCCAACTTTCTGTGCATCCAGAGAGATTGGGTCGAGATGCTCCCTAGATATCTCCATTCATATTCACCATTCAACTTAAGGCCTGATTAGACAACATATGTTTTGATCCACCACAACAACTCCACAAAAGCATTGAATCAACGTCTCACCATGGTCGCGCAACCCATCGGCACCAAGAAGACGCCCGTCACGTCCACGGCGAAGAAGACACCAGTCAAAGCACCAGTGAAGAAGGCGCCTGTCAAAGCACCCGCTGTTCAGCCTCCGAAGAAGCCTGTCAATACTGCGATGCAGAAGAAACCCGTGGCAACAACCCCTAAGAAGCCCGTTACAAGCGTCCCACCCAAAAAGCCTGTGACAGCCGTCGGTCAGAAGAAACCCGCCCCAGCACCTGCAAAGAAGGCAATCCAGCCGCCACAACAACAGGGTTGGATCAACAAAGGCCTCAGCGCTGCATCGTCTGGCATTGGAAGTGCTGTCGGCGCTGCAACAACTGGTATTGGCAATGCTGCTGGGGCCGTCGTGACCGCGACAGGTAGTGGAATCGCTGGAGCAGGGAGAGGCGCCGGAGCAAGGTACATATTGCAACTTTGCCAAGTCGACTTTTCTGATTAACATACTATCTAGTATTACAAACTCGTCTCGCACCTGGGGCGATATGGTCCGCGAGTACGGCAACTCTCTCAAAGACATCACCGGCGCTCCGGGCAGTCGATCGACAACAAACAAGAATCCCCTCGGCTTGAGCACTAGCGGAGTGGGAGGTATGGCATCCATGGCTAGTCGACCCGGCGTACCTGGTCTCTCAGGGGGTTCCGGCAAAGGTGGCGGTACGGCCAGCAATCCGCTGGGTCTTTGAGTGATAGCGTTGACGGATTGTGAACATGGAATGGAGGCTGTACGAGTATTTAGACGACCGAGGCGAAAACATGGAGTATTCAGGGATTGGATGGCGTTATCTGGGACACTTATTATTGGCAATTACGATCTTGCAATATCAGTGCTTAGTCTCTTTTTCAGTGAGGTTAGTCTATGAGATAAACTCCGGGTGGCACAGCACGACACCAAAATTACATGGTAAGTTAAATATCTGATCGAAGAAGTATGCTAAGCCTCATCCTTCTGACACTATGACCTGCAAGTATACCTTCTGATCAATCTACTACGGAAGATATCACCCTTGTAAACAGATTGCAGAAAGATGACTACTCTCAACTAATAGTACCTAGGTGAGTTTTCTACAAATTCTGCCATCAACGATGATGTATTGCATCGTCACAATCTGGCTCGCGAGTACAGCAGTATATAGATCCTTTCATGAAGCCTGGAACAGACTACAAGCACTGATAGTAGTACGGTGGTGAGACGCCTTTGCACGTATACGGCGACTTTGGCATTGTCAGATGGTTTCACTGTCATGGCTGCAAATTCACATACCTCACAGATTGTACATCCATTCCAATTCTGTCCACCGCACTGATCCCAGTGCTTCGATCTACATCCTCCTCCACCACCCGATGTACTTGTTGGTCTTTGCGCTGACGAAGTGCGACTTGGCAACATTGTAGATGTTTTCGTGCTCGAAGGTTGAGGACGCGAGGAGCTTGTTCGCGTTGGCATTGGGGCTGTGCGGCTCGAACTCGTCTTTGGCGGGCTCGGTGGTTTAGGCGGCTGCGACGGTCTTGGTGGGGATGTACCTCCTAACGTCGGTGTATCAACATAGCTGCCGTCACAATAGTACGACATGCCGTTCAGTTGGAGATCCTTCATGATGGTACTGAGTCCAGCCACGCCTGTTCCTTTACAAGATGCGCCATTCACAGCTTGCGCATTAAGCGGAAGAGGGTACTCGATATGGAAAACTGGCTTGTTGAGAGCGATGAAGTTCTCGTAGGCTTGACACTCGCCGTGTTGCGCACATTGCTCGTTGACTGCAAAGTCTATGATCGGCGACACATCGCTGAGGATATCGAGGCTGTTCTTAAGCCCAATTCTCATGTCGTATTTAGCGGCTTCCTGCTGCATCCATCGCACGTATTCGATAGCGTCCGTGTTCTTAAGGTTCAATCCGTTGTCGTTCTGCTAAAAGAGGTTAGCATGTATAACTCGCTCACGCCTGAGCTTGAAGTCGTGACTGCGTGCTACCACCGTATCACACCCATGTAACAGTACGAGGACTTACATATCCATCTGTGTTGTCCGGATCGATAGCATCGCAGCCCTTGTCCGCAGCCAACTTGATGCGCTTGGCCATGAGTGTTCTAATGCTTTGGCTGCCCGTCCGCAACCATCTCTCATTGGGCCACTCCGGGAGCACCTTTCCAAGATCAGCAGCTGCAAAACTTCCGTAATCATCTCTCCAATCTTCCGCTGTTCCAGCACTGAAGTAGCAGATGACGATTTTGCCGGCTGCTTTGAGAGTTCCTATTGTCGTAACAGGGTTGTCGAACAAATCGATATCCCAAACCGGCACGTCTATAGGTGATATAGGTATCTTGGACATGTCGGGAATGCCCAGCAGTACGATCTGAAACTTCTGCCCTTGTATAAACGAAGCATTCTGTGCCCAAATGAGTGAGAAGTAACATCCCAACAACACTAGCCACAAAAGCATCTTGAAAACGTTGGAAGGCTGGAAGATCTTTGATGTGTGTTTGTTGGTCTTTATGAAGGAAATAGGATCAAAGTGTCGGATCCTAGGTCTGAGAAGTCATACTCTTAAGGCAGTCCTGTCCAAGCCCTGAAAGCCTACATTTAGGATATGTAGTAGCAATGTGTCACAACTCGACTGTAGCCGAGACGCGGTCTGCAGCGGCTCCCATGTGTCGTAGCTTCTGGAGCTGGTTGGGCGCCATCATATATCCCTGGATATTGCACCATTACAAAAAGCCAATCATCCAAGTTTACGTTGTCACGACAGGAATCTGGTAGGACTGGAGTTTCGTAAGCCGCTCCAGTAGCAACGCCGGATCGCTAAGCTGGGCAGTATCAATCCGATACCAAATGCGTGCCCATGCTTGGACGATTTCTTGCGTCAAATATACCGTACCATAAGCTTTGAGAACGAGTGGCGCCTGGTGCGAGATGTTGGGGTATGAGTTGACAACCGTAACCGGAGAGTGCCGAATCAGCTGCATGCACAACGTATGGCGATCCGGCAGATTCGTGCATTGCGGGGAAAGCTTGTTTCTCTAGTCTCAGGCTCATCTCCGAGATCGTGTCGGTCAGATGCGCCCTGGTTGATCATATATGAGCAAGTTCTAGGCACACGGGTAAATGAGGTATAATATCGGAGTCTTCATTTGAAAAATTCCTCTCTAGTCCAAGCCGAACAAGAGTGCTTGAGATTCTGTCTTCGTTGGAATCATTCTTCGATGTTCGCCTTTGATTTCATGTACAGTAGCAATAGATTTTGCGACGAACCCATGTATGGATGACGCGATATAGCGATGTAGCGATACAATCAGAGATTTGAGACTACGACCAAGGAAAAAGAACAGGCACAGGTTGTCTGGTAACCAGAATAACGAATCAAACAAGGGTGGGGGTTGGCGATGTAAAGAAAATGGTACCATAATCACGAGGTTGACGCGTATGGTAGGGTAAAGCGCCCGAGGGGATGACGCGCGATATCATGCAAATCGCCCTTATCGATAAAACTAGCGCCATCTGAACCTTCTGACAGAGAAGTTTGGACATGCATAGAGCGTGCAACATGGTTGGCCACGACTACATGTTTGTCCTACTCCTGTCTTTCTATACGCATTTGCTTTAGACGCGGCGAGTTTGCCTCCGCCTCTCGTTCTTTACTTTCAGACGGCGCTTGCTCATGCTTGCGCTCTATCGACTGCGATGCCTCCCATACTCCACTCCAAGCTTTCAAACACGCTTTCTGCGAACACTTCCACGAAAAATCCCGGAATACGTTCCACGATGGGATCCGACCTTACACAGAACCGCGCAGTCCACTTCGGTGCTGAATGAGTCGACGAGAATGGCCGCCGAGAACCATTCTTTTGACTTCAACAGAGGTGCAGAGCGCGAGCAGTTTAGAGATAAACCCGTCGCGATTGGCATGCCTGGAACCAACCACAATGGTAGGCGGACAGTTGTCAAAAGACTGAATCACGTATTGGGGCTAGTCAGAGACTGCAATGGCCAGGATGCCAGTCTACGTGCACCGCTTTGGCGAGCATATTCTTTGGCCAAGGCATCTGATCCGAAACTCCTAGCACGTATCCCGGATGGAGTATGGGACTTGCTCTCGATCACGCAGTCCACTCACACTGCAAATATGGCACAGCTCTACCAGGATATGAACAAGACTGGGAGATATACGATAGCCAGGCAGCGCGCCAAAAGTCTAGAGAAGGTCTTCCTTCGCGGAAAAGTAGACCAGGCTCTCAGAGGATGGGAAGAGGATCAAAGATTGGGACTCGGCGGTGTACGAATGGACTACAATCCGGAGCATCTGGAGATTGGGGCTAAGCTCCATGCACTTGCCAGGAATGTAGACTACAGTCGGAACATTATGAATGAGCTGTTCAGGCTGTATCCGAGTTGGAACACCTCCGTCATGATGACTGTTTTCCGAGCTCATACGAGCTCAGAACTACAAGAGCACCATGACATGGCGAAGCAAATCTATGTCAGAATGAAGGACCAGAGAGGCAATACCCGCTCGATCAAGGACTACGACGCTTGGCTTGTGGGCTTCTTAGAAATGCGAAGCTTGAGTCATGCCAAGCAAGTGTTTAGGGACATGATTAAGGATGGCTATCTGGCTACCAGCGGAACTGCAGAACGAGTCAACCAAGTGTTGAAGAGACTGCACATGATATATCGACTTGGAACTAATATCGAGTCCATGACTAGTATCGCTCTTGATGCTATATCTGTGCTCCCTCGTGGTTATCACGGCCATTTGTTTGGTGACTGGCTGAAATTTAGCGTTGTCAAGAAAACGCCACAGGCAGCCGCTCAAATCTTGGAGATGATGCTCAAGCGAGGCTACCGACCAGAAACGTTCCACTACAACATGTTTCTCAGAGCGTTGATACGGACGAAAGAGGAGGCGAACATCCTGAAAGCAGAAAGTATCGGTTGGCGCATGGTCGAAGCCGCTTGCGAAGCTGGTCAACATGACGTTACTCCAGAAACAATATCAGCCATCATTGACAAAAAAATTGCCGAGACTCCTCCTACATCTGACGAAACGACCCAACGAGCTCCTGTTGCTGACGTAACAACGTTTGCCTTGATTATGCAACACCATGCCAACAGCCTGCAATGGGAACACGTCGATTACTTGTCCCGGCAGCTCAAAGCAGCGAAAGTCAAGCCCAATGCTACCATCATGAATGTCCTTATGGATAACAAATGCCGACAAGGTGCCTACAGCAAAGCATGGAAGATCTACAAGTCTCTCACTGAGCCGCAAGAAGGAAGCAACGGCGTCTTCCCAGACGGTAAAAGCATACGTTGTCTTTGGAAAACGCTCCGATTAGCACTCGGCGACTCTACCGTTCAAAACAAGCTCGATATGCCTAGCCCTCGTGAGCTACTAGCAGAGACGGTAAACTGGTGGACGCTCTGTCGCAGTCGCTACGACGCCGATCGTTTCCGCATGGGTCTCGCAGGCCCAGACAGTGGAGCAATCACGCCGCTCATCATGCACTGCTTTAGTTACAATCGAGATCTGGCTGGCTCGTTGGTCGCTCTGCACGTCCTTCGTCATCGCTTCCACATCTTTCCCACCGACGAATCAGCGCAAATTTTGCAAAGACAGATGGCCTGGGTAGACTTGGCAGATGAGTCTGCGGCTGTGCGTGGTCAATACTTCCACAGTCGTTCCAATAAGAAAAACACGGACCGTATAGCGGCGGTCTACGACATTCTCCTGCAGCGACGATTGTCAAGAACAGGTTTGAAGGAAGGCGATTTTGAGAAATTGACGGACGAACAGATTGGGGATATGGGATTGAATTTGTTGAGCGAATTCATAAGAGTGGTGCTCAAGAGGTACCACCCACCCGAAGTGGTAGAGATGATGATTGATGTGACAAAGAGTGTAGTGGGTGTACCTGATCTGCCCACTGGGGACATGGATGCATTTGAAGTGGCTTGAATGAAGTGTAATCACAGGACTGGATGATGATTCATATGTTAAAACGATACTATAGCCATTCAATCCCCATACATGAATATCTTCATCAACAATCGATAAACAATAACACAGCTCTTTGTGCAAACCACAGCGTTATGAATACGATCGAACTCATGCCATGTAGTACAGTGCTCGACAGAATTGATACTTGATCGCAACGGCAACACCAAGACATGCCTCTTTGAAGACCTCGATATCATATGCCGTCCACTCTTCTAGCTGAAGGATGGACAGTCGAGGCATCGTTCCGTTCCCTATATGCCTTTCAGGAGTCCTGACATCAATGGAGATGGTGATCTTCCTCAACCCCGGCAGTACTATGGGTAACTTGAGGTTTGTCACGTCACGAGGCCGAAAGTCTGCTCCTCTGAAGTTACCGCGCATCCAGCTTTCCCTTACAGAATACGACAGCTCATATGTGCATGGGAACACTAGACGTGTGATTGCCTGCTGTTGAGGGAGCGAGCGATGTATAAGCCACTGGTTGACGAATGCATACGGAGAGCCGTTGACGATAAAGGTGCCAAATTTGAAGTACAGGAGCGCCATTTCCTTGTGCATCTGTTTACAGGCCCCCGTGGTCTGGAGGACGCGCTGGAGGTCTTTGAAATAACGTTTGTGGATCCTTGGACTGTCATTTCGGAATGGATTTGCATTCAATTTCATTCTCCAATCCTGACACAGCGCGTACTCATAGATTCGATTTCGAAGTTCTCCAGGTAGACGTAGGAGTGGCGAGTTTTCTCTATTCAGTGTTGTACTGATGCGTCCGTTAATTGAGAATTTGATAGGCCTTTGGCTGTCAATGCTTACATCTCTTTGGCTTCGGCTCTGCATCGTGATTTCATGTGACTCTCCTTGGTCGTATCATGAAGTATTGATTTATCTTCCTCACGAGGGCGAATTGGCAGACAAGCGACAGAAGATAGCATGACGCAGACGAATCAATATTTTGTAAGTTGTGTTCTGGATAACAGATTGGAATGAGCACATGTACACTAGAGAGGTTGCATACTGATGCAAGAGACGTAAAGAGCATAAATTTGGGAGAAGCTGGAGCCTTTCAACACTCTCTCAGCTGCTGCCTAATATATTGCGCAGCTACGGACGCTTCACGTGGAGAACAGCCTTGTGGTAAACTGCGTTGGTCTGTAGCCACTGTTTGCAATCACTCAAAATTAAGAGTGGTATATCATAATCGAGTCGAGTTGATGATTGGAGCTTGAGTTTCGACTCTCGTGGTATAAGTCGTTTTTTGTGCATTGACATGATTGGTTGTACCTGCGGGTAAGCGAAACATGGGGCTCTTCGATCGAGCATTCCGCGGCGTCGATCGATGACGCTCTAACAACCCGATGTCCACAACGCGCACCGAACGCGGTTAAAGTTGATAGTTGCTTACTCGACGATGACGCTCACTGTGGTCCCGGCGGCTGGGACGCGATCATGGAAATTCTTTGGGCGTGCTGCGTTTTCGGACCACGACCACATTCACTCCTTGTGCCAACACGATCATGTCTCCACAGGGCGAGCGCGCACCGTTGCTACAACAGCGATGGAGTGAAGAAGGCGAGCCGCGAACAGTCAGTCATCCTGCACGCGCTTTCTATCGATAGTGTTTACTAACTACTGACAGCATCTTCGCATCGAGGACCTTTCCAACGACGAAAACCCACGAACATGGGCGCGATGGCGGAAGATGGCCAACGTGGCTGTCATAGCCCTCATGTCCAGTACATACACTCATTCATCTATGCATGCCTTTACTGACAGCCATGGCAGTTCTCAGCCCCCTCGTGTCCTCCATGTTCACGCCCGGCATTGCGCAAATCGCCGATGACCTCAAGTGTAGCACGACTGCCGTTATTGGAACAACAACTGGCTTCGTAGTCATGCTCGGAATCGGCCCCTTGATCCTTGCTCCCTTGTCCGAGACGTTTGGACGCAGAAGAATCTACCTCGTGTGCTTCTCCGTGTTCGCTTTGCTACAGATACCCGCTGCACTCGCGCCCAACATCGCCTTCCTCATCACAGTACGGAGCATTGCAGGTTTCTTTGGGAGCGTCGGCATAGCGAATGGCGGAGGCACCATAAGTGATATGTTCATACCAAGTGAACGAGCAGGAGTATTTGGCTGGTATCTACTAGGCCCGTTACTTGGACCTACCCTAGGACCATTGTTTGGTGGCATCATCGTACAGCGCTTGGGCTGGCGCTGGGTCTTCTGGATCATGACCATCGTGTGCTTCGTCAACACCTTGGCTGGTTACTTCTTCCTTCGAGAGACTTATGCGCCGTTAATCCTGAATTCCAAGAAGGCCGAGTTTGAGTCTCAGAGCTCCGAGTTCGACGGCACGAAATACTCCTACGAGGGCGAAGATACACGACCGCTGAAAGAAAAGCTTACCCAAGCTCTCAAACGCCCACCCAAGATCTTCGCTCAACCCATCGTGGCCGTCATGGCTGTATATCAGGCGCTCATCTTCGGTACAACCTACAGCATCTATACAAATATGCAGCCGATTTACCAAGACGATTACGGTTTCTCCACCGAGAAGGTTGGATTGCTATATCTGGGTCCCGGCCTTGGTTTTCTTTTCGCTGTCTGGTTTCTGGTTCCGCGAATCGATACCGTATACAAGAATCTCACGGCCAAGAATCTCGAAAAGGCACGGCCCGAGTTTCGCCTCCCACTCGCGAACATTGGCTCTGTTTTCATCCCCGTTTCGCTCTTTTGGTTCGCTTGGACTGTGGAGAAGCACGCGCACTGGTTCGCATCTATATCAGCAACCTTCTTCTATGGCATCGGACAGGTCATGATCCTGAACAGCACGCAAAACTACTTCATCGACAGCTTCGAGAAGTACGCGGCCAGCGCAATCGCTGCTGGTACCGTTTTCCGCAGCGTTGTCGGTGGTGTCATCCCAATCTTTGCGCCTATGCTCTTCGAGAAGCTAGGATATGGTTGGGGCATCAGCACGTTTGCGTTTGTCAGTTTGGTTCTTGCACCCGCTCCAATCTTGTTCTTTATCTTTGGCGAGAGGCTTCGGGAACGGTTCCCGGTTGATTTGTAAAGCCTTTTCGTGTGGGTATCATATTCGTGTTCATATTGTAACTGCTGTATCTGTTTAAATGAACTTTAATTGGTTAATTCTAAATGACCTTCCTCTTGTAGCCCTTACCTAGTTCCACGAGCCATCAGCATATCTACTAACCAAGACATATATGTCCTACCTAACGACAAAAGTGCAGTAAAGCGAGATACGAGCATACGTTAAAGCTAAGTTGATGCAAAAATAGCCCATTGGTGGTATCTGGCAGCTACAGTAACTCTGAAGCCTTGAAAGCCAGTCACTGATCAGTCTCACTTGCAGAGTGCACAGTGCCTCAGGAAATCGTGCACCATGAACATCATCGTTTCTCCAACCCAAGATTGAAGAGATATTGATTCGTCTATACGGTATGCCCTGTGTTCCCACACCTCAGAGCTCACAAGATGGGTAGTACCATGGAGGTAGCACGCTTCTTGGCAATCATCTCGCAACCGGGCTAACGTCCTACACATCTGGTGTATTGTCGACTCGGAGAGTGTATATAAGACTCCAGTTAGTATGGCTCCAGTAATGATCGTTGTCAGTCCCAAGTGAATTGTCTGAAGTCTCCTAAGCATGCATCCTGCCCAACTTATCACTGCTTTGCTCACCGTCACGACTACTTCTATCGCAGCCCCTACCGATCATCCTGCCGGGACCACCACCAGCAGTTCCATCAAGACTGACACTGATCTCTTTGCTCAGGCTTGTCCTGGTACGCAAATTTACCACTGGCAGGGTGGAGGTTGTGAGACCGACTGGGGGAACGATTGTTATAATCGTTGTAAGAATGTTGCCGCATCCAAACGTTGCTGCATGAGAACAGTCGGTTGGTATCAGGATGGTGGAGGGTGCTTGGGTCCCTGGGAGACTTGCGAGTGCACTTGTAAACGTTAGGGAGGTATGAATCTGCCCCACCAGAACTGTGCAAAGTCATGGCTACCATCATCGGTGGTTAGGGCGGCTTGCTGACTCTTCAGTTCTAGTGCAGCTATATCGTGGTTCATGCGCTGCCATGAGATTTCCACGGTGCTTGTATATTGGTTGGCTGTATTGTGTGGCAGACGGCGTATGAGTTACTCACGTTTTCCCTTGAGTTGGCTATTCAGGGCAAAGGAAGTTTAGGTCTCGGTGATGACTGTCGCGTTATGGTTTCAAACAAGGGTTATCAGATCAATGATCATATAGACTGGTTTACAGCACAACATGTATGTTCATTACATATCACCTTTATATGTGACTCGTGTAGGCGCAATCTCTTTTCTCAACCGAGACACAAAGTCATCTAGATCATCCGCAGTTTCCTTGTCAGTACCTAGACTTTCACCACGACCTGAAGTCCACCAGATGCCAACATTTACTTTTGCTGGCAGCCACTTCACTTCTTGCAAAGCCATCATAATGTGAGACTCGTAGTCCCTCTGATATGCTTGGGCAATGCGCTCCTCCCTACCCATACTGTGCGCCTGTGCACGGCGATGTCTATCCGCAAATCGCAGACGGTTACCACGACGGCCCAGGACCTCCGCAGTATCAAGTCCCAGATCAAGCTCTTCCAGGGCAGAGAATTGTTCTAAGAGACGGAGGGAATGCTGCATGTCGTCAAGGAGCTGCAGAGACCTCGCTTGTGAGCTGGCGAAAAGTGCCACCATATTCGCTGGATGCAAAAGTACGCGCTCAATGCTGAAGTAGGGTAAAGTGATTCGCTTGACAAGCTTCCTGTTCTTGAGTCCAATTTTTCGGAAGAACTCCCGTACAACAAAGCGTATGGATTCTGAATCGTTGTGAAGAAAGAAGTTGAAGCGACTGAAGCAGTATGTGAGAACTTCGGCGTGAAAGGTACGGCTGACGAACACCAAGCCTCGGATGTTTTTGAGGCCCCATAACTTATAATCGCCACTGTGTTGCTGTTGGACGGTCATCTTGATGATTTGGCTTCGGAAGTCCTGCACTAGAATACAATGATATATCTGCTGGCGGATTTCGAGCGGTAGTCTGAGAAAGCCAGGGGCGGTAGTGGTGACGTTCGCCATCGTTGGTGACGTTCTAAATGTTCGAACATCTGAATCAAGCATGAATAGTCGTTCGTATCTGGAAATGGTTTCGAGAGGGATCTACTTGAAGAATCGATTGGGATAACAAGAGTCCGATGGGGTAGTATAGGAAGTTTCATCTTAGGCTGCGGAAAGGGTCCGGGGTTAGCGCTGCGCGGCGTAGTCATCCCGCAAAGAGCCCACCAGCTCTTCTGCACACTATGTTATCACTCCAACCTCCCTCTGGTGATTCCTACATTCTCAGTATCACTAGAAGGGCTTGTAGGGTTTCGCACCGCCTGTTCTGCTGTGCACTGTATCAGAGAGAAGAAATAAACATCCCTTTTAAGAGAATTACTTCTTCTTGCTCTAAAAGAGTCCATTAAGAGCTGTGTGGATATAGATTGAAAACCTAAAAGACCCAACGTTATTAATCTTTGTAAAATGTCTTATTAGCATACAATGTAAGCTGCAAGGTAGAGCTTGTCATTACTGTATCTGTCTGGTTTTTTTTTTCTTGTACGAGGTAGCTTCTCATCCCGCACCATCCATGCTACATCGAAATTGCGTTCCACGGAAGGAAGATTACATGCTTACACAGACCAACAACATGCCACGGTTCGACGGCTCAACACACTGCGCACACGCCAAAGCTTGTTTCAATATGGTATTGCTATTTGTTGTAAGTAGATTAAACACTAAAAACTACCTCCAAGCCACCTTCGCTATCGACTTGCAGTAAACATAGTATGGACAGAACCAAGAGGGATGCAAGACATAATCGCGTAACGTAGCCTATACATGATTGACAAAAGGGCTACGAACTACATCAATGACACTCTACAAAGAGATGTCAACGGACAGGGAGAGACCTGAGGAAGCATCGATGATAGCATCAACGCAGCCGAAGTTCTGCTCAACGTCAAGGTTGCCAGGCTCCTTCCAGCCGTCGTTCTGGTAAGAGAACAGGCAAGCCTCGGATCCGACCTTCTCCATGATCTTCTTCATAGCAGTCTTCTGCTGCTCAACACCAGCAACAGCCTTTCCGTTAGACTGACCAGCGCTGGGCCAGCCGATCTCAGTGATGTACTTGCCCTTGGCAGCAGCCTCGGGGCAAACCTTGGCAGCCTGCTCGAGTTGTTGGGCAGCGAAGTCACCGGCCTCCTCAGCGGAGACGGACTGGGTGAAGTAAGGGTGGACCTGGACAGTGAAGACATCGATGTGGTCGCAGAGAGCAGCACCGTGCTCCTCCCAGGAGCCAACAGTCTCAGTGGTAGTGACAGCAACGCCCTCGTAGCCGGAGCTGACGAGTTGATCACGGACGTAGTCGATGTAAGAACCAAGCTCGTTAACGTCGCAGTTACCGTTGAAGACACATTCGTTTCCGACAATGACCATGGCGACGGAGTCCTTGGGGGCGTTGTCGGTGATGTCCTTGAGCTGGTCGTTGGCGTAGCTGGAGAAAGGACCCCTGCCACCCTTGCCACCAGCCTCAAGGAAGATACCGTAGATGACCTTCAATCCGTACTTCTGGCACTCAGGAACAACGTGCTCGAAGACACCGCAGTCAGTGCTGTAGGAGCGGATAGTGGTGAATCCGAGCTCTGAGATCTTCTTGATGTCGGTGGCGATCTCATCGGCGGTCTTGCAGTCACCAGAGTTAGCGTAAGGGGTGTATGTAATGGCCCACTTGTCGCCGTTGGTCTTGATGTGGTCACCCTGGTTGTAGCTGCCAGTGGGCTTGGGCTTCTCTACCTCCTTGGTGGAGCTAGGGGTTGGCTTGGGCTTCTCGGCGGAAGAGGCAGGTGCAGAGGGAGTGTAGGCAGGCTTGGAAGCCTCGGGAACCTCCGGAACGGCAGGCTTGGAGGATTCAGGGACGGAAGGGTAAGCAGGCTTAGACTCCTGGGGAACTGAGGGGTATGCGGGCTGAGTAACCTCAGGTACGGTAGGGTAAGCAGGCTTGGACTCCTCCGGGACGGGTGCTGGGCCAGTGGGCTTGCCCTCCTCCTCAGTGCAGGTGGTGGACTCTGGAACAGCAGGCTTAGATGCCTCTGGGACCTCGGGAACGGCAGGCTTGGACACCTCGGGAACAGAGGGCTTGGATGCCTCAGGAGTACCGGCAGGGTAGGTTGGCTTGGGAGCCTCCATGGAAGAAGTCTTTCCCTCCTCCTCAGTGCAGGTGGTGGACGACTCTGGGACAGCGGGGACCGCTGGCTTGGTGGACTCGGGCACCGCGGGGTAGCCAGGGGCAGAAGACATTGGTACCTCGGGGTAGGCGGGCATGGAAGTTCCAGGGACTACGGGAGCAGGGCTGGAAGGCTTGGGGGCCTCTCCGGTCGAAGCCGGGACGTTAGGAGTAGGAACGACGATTGAAGTCTTTCCCTCCTCAGTGCACGAGGTCTCTGGGACAGTAGGTGGGACAGCCATGGTGCTGTTGGGAGCCATGGAGGGCACTTAGTCCTGTTAGTGAATATACTCAGAGGATCAAGACTTCTCCTTGTTCACTGCTTCTTTCCAATGTTGGGTATCACATACTTGCGGTCACAGTGACGGTGTGGGTGATGATCTCGCAAGACTCCTCAGCGGCGTATCCACCATGGCGGCGCATGTGGAATCCAGCGTGAGCCTTGTGCTGCGCGGCCACAACTGACCCAACAAGGGCAGCTGCAACGAAAGAGTAACGCATCTTGAACTTGTTTACGTGGTATAGGGGTGTCTAGGGGTAGTAGGGTCGTCTGCTGAACGAGTGAAGCAGGTAATATTAAGTAAATAGATAATGAGTGACGGGGCACAAAGGCCGAAGGTGCTTGTCAACGAGGCTGGTGATGCGTAACTTGAAAGCCTTGCGTAAAGAGAAAAAGGAAGAAATCTTGGGGAACACAGCGGTTTTCATGCATGTGCCGTGGCCTGTGAGCAGCAGTTAGTGGAGAACTGCCTCCAAGGCGTTAGGTTAGGGGTCCTGGAAATTGCCCTGATCATTGTTGTACAAGAACGGCATGGACGCCATCCTACGGCTCTATTGAGATCGTGATGTGCTCCGAGCGGAAATGAGTCTGGGGTATAATTGTCGTGTTAGGTCAAAGGTGGGTCTAGTCTAAAGTCAGATGAGGTTAATCGTCTCTTCACCCTGAACTGCCGTCCCGAGCAAACGAGTGCGTCACAGCGACAAGCAGCACGCCAATTCCTCGCATCAGCAGTGCCGTGAGGCGTGTGAACTTTATCGCAGCAATGCCACTTGCTGTGCGTTTCTTAGCTGCCATGTGCTCGACCTCACTTCCGGTAAGGCGCACCTCGTGTCGCTAATTGCGGTCCACCGATGCTCCCATCTTCATCAAAACCACGGCAACGCGCATATCAGCAATCACAACCAACAATCGCGAACGGCTAATCTTTGTGCAGCTCACAGCGGTGCCATGGCCGCAGCGTGCGCCACCATGCAGGTACAGAACGACTTGTGCAGGGTTATTCCTGCGGGACGTTCTTTAATTGGCCGAAAGACCCATCGAAGAGTTGGGGTGGGCGCTGGATGTTGGTGTGTGCCCCTATCCTGTCACGATTCAAGAGAACGGCCGGCGTGTTAAAACCGCCTCCACCGCTATTGATGGACATCACTAAACTCTCCGCTCGACGATGCCGGACCATCGGAAGACAGGTATCCGCAAGCTGCTAAACTTAGGTGTAAGGAATTCGGTGATTTTGTACGCATCAATACGATGAGTATCTCAACTTTGCGTGCCATGTTCCGACGCAATTACGGTAGCGCGTATTTCGTCGTCGAATATCGCTACCAAGCGCTGCTGAGAACCTTGGATGTCTGGTCAGCATTGGCGACACAGATGGTTGCCGAAGGAGCGAACAGCAAGTCAGGCGACCACTCTGTACCCGCGCTGATTGAGCACATTTGACCCCTAGCATGAAGGAAGTGCTCGCCTATCAGCGATTGACGAAGCTAGCATGTGTAGCAAGCAACACGTTGTATCTCTCGCATCGTGGGCTCAGTTTTTCCCTCTCCTGAAAGCTACATCGAAAGCTAAGATGGCTACAGATACATCCATGCCTTTGAAATCCACAACCAGGGGTCTCTAGTGAGTGTGCATTGTTATGCTATGAATTGCAAAGAAGGTATTGCAGCCCTAGTTTCAACGATCATCTCTCCTCATTCGTCTTGGACCACTTCTACACCGCCTACCTTCTCTACCGGCTATTATCCTGTTGTTGCCCGTAGTAGTGCGCCTTCATCATATCCGCAAAATGCTGACTTCCGTATTCACTGAAGTGTCCTTTCTTTCCTTTGGCTGTCTTGATTGCCGCCTTCGTCGAGCGTGGGAACATCTCTTCCTCATAATCCTTCAAACCGTCATCAAGACTCTTCTCGCTACGGCACACTTTGGCAATCTCTTGAGCCAGAACCTGCGCATCCTTCATACCCACATTAACTCCTTCGCCGGCAAATGGTGTAAAAACATGCGCAGCGTCCCCGATGAGGGTGACGCCTGAGCGAAAAGACCATCGGAAACCGACAGGTAGTTCGTACAAAGCACGAGCGACTGGGCTTTCTGTAGAGGAAAAGATGACGCGCTTGAGGTCATCGTGTATGTGGGAGAAGTAGCGGTCAACGTACGTCTTGAGCGCTCTTTCCCGGTCATTCCAGTCGATGCCGCAGGTTTTCAGGAAGTCCTCTGGCACACGCAACGAGGCGTAGGTTCGTAAGCTACCGTCACCTTGCCGTTGAGACTGCACTGCGCAATCTTTACCGAAAGCCATCATCGACCCTTCGCCCGCATATTTTAGTAGCCAGGGATTGGCCTTGACGTCGTTGCACGTTAATGCCACAGACGATATGCCTGAATACTCCGGCATCTTATCAGTGAGAAGCTTTCGTACCCTGGACCACGCACCGTCACCTCCAACCACGAGATCGAATCCAAGCTCTTTCGTACCGTCTGCGAAATGCAAATCATACTTCCCTTCTCCTTCAGCAGACGGCACAGCCTCTTTTAGCTTCCTTCCAAACTTCACAGACCCCTCCTTCAGATTCCCAAACATCAACGTCGCCAATGCCATTCGATCAATCTCAGGTCTTCCGTCAAACTTTTCTTCTTCCTTGACGTCCTGCTTGTCATCTCCGTTCTCATCCCAGAGCACCTCTCCGTTCAAAGTCACAATCTTCATCACGTCACATTCTGGACGCGCATGTTTAGCAAATTGCTCCCATAGCCCTGCTTCTTTGATAGCGAATTGGCCGGACTCGGGGTGGAGGTCTAGCGAGCCGCCTTGTGTGCGGAGTTCAGGCGAGGATTCAAAGATGCTGAAGGGGATAAGGTGCTTTTGGAGGATGTTGGCGAGTGTTAGAGACGCAGGACCAGCACCCACAATGCCGATTTTGAGTTGGTCAGGTATAGCGGCTGACGGCATGGCTGCTCAGGGGCTTTGAAAGTTTCTGGATGGTATTTCAATAACTTTGAGCTGAGGCGCGCCGTTTTCCTGGTAGAAGCTGTCGTTCAGCGAGGCAGGCAATAATCGGAGGCCCAGGGAAGGTGGATAGGAGTATCTGGGTGACTTTGTAATTCAAGATCTGATATGTTCAATATAACGACTTCAAGTCTTGTAATAAGTACTTCTGCTCAAACTTTGCTGCCTAGGCCAGTATCACGTTGTCCAGATGCCTACTCAGTCTCGGGCCCTTCTACGGCGCGATGAATCTGACATCTCGGGCCCGACACCACAAGAAAAGACCGAGATACCCGTAAGGGATGCGTCGAAAGCCACACGCCACAGATAGGGCTTCACAACACGGATGCATGTTTTTCGAATTTGCACAAGCTGTGCAACTTCGGATAGGCTAGCGCTCTGCACCACCGACGCGAGGGTCGGCCGAGATCAACGTGGTTTGACCTTCGTATACTCGTTCGCGCAAATCCTAGTGGTTTATGGTAGCACACCTTATCTGCATTAAGCTTCGAGCCAAGAGACGTTGAGTGAATGATACGATCGGCGCAACAAGCCGTCACACTATGTACACCATCAGGCATCAAAATCATGCTGTCTTTATTTTTTTCCCCACCCAAACGAGGCTCAAATGCTTTTCGTCTCCCCACTGACATGATCGTATTACTTTTTTTTGATCAATCATCACAACTCCGGAAAGTACTTGCACCAGTTCCGCGATGAGTCGAGGCGACAACCCTGTCATATATCACACAGAGGTAGACGGTGCCGCAGAGCTAAGTTTTGGACATGTAGAAATCGCCCAGCCCATACTGGGTACACGTGACATGTGCCGTGTGTCACGTCGTGTTATTGGAACGTGCTGTTGGGACCACAATTTTTGACACCCAACGTGCGATAAGACCCTGGCAGCTTGCGAATCCAGAACCCGGCACGTCATCGCAATGCGATGATCATCCCAAACCCAGCCCTCCTCCGCCTTTACCAAAACCGGGTCTCCTGTTGGCCAGGGCAATGTTATGGACCGTGTTTCCAACCCTTACTTTGACGGCATCAAAAGCAGCTTCTGGTGCCTGGATGAATTTACTGGTGTCGATATTCTGGACGAGAGTCGTCCACTCGGTATCGGGCTCAGCCAAGTTCCAAGCTATGCTGACGTGGAAATATTGCGAATAATCATGGCTGTGAGGCTCATTCTTGTCGACCTCGTTCTTGTCGACCTTCCTCCGCTTCGGACCGTCGTTAGAGTCGTGGCTTTCCATCGGACCGTCTCCCACTCCGCCTGTATACAGACCTGGATGGCCACTATACTGCGTCGCGTCGTTACATGCCTGCAGTAGGCGGTTAAGCTCATTCAGTTTCGACTGCTTGATGCCAAGGACCAGAAACCATCGATTGCGCTCAAAATTGGGTACCCACTTCAAACTCTGAAACTCAAAGTTGAAAGCCCGCACAGCGCATCGCCGCACAGCAACGCTCATTGTTTTGAGAAATGGTTCCCTGTCATCAGTGTTGATCTGCAGGGTTCGCGACAAGGACACATGAAGAGGTAGCGATGCACCCAACTCTGACTGAAGAGACGGTATGATGTCTGGTACGGGTAGCTTCTTTGTTCGCTTTGCATTCTGGAGAGCAATCGATTCTCTCACATGCTGTAGCAGGCTGTGAAGAGCATCGGATTCAGGCTGTGTAGGTATCCCTCGAACGCGTTAGTCTATATTATCCACGTTGATGGTGAATTGGTCCGGGTATCCTTACACTCTAAGTAAACATGACTAGGCCATTTGCCCTCGACATGAGGTACAGCCCGCTTGCGTCCGCCGTGTAGGCTTGGGTTGTCGCTAGTGCTGACACGCGCATTTGTCGCGTAAAGGTCGTGGAAGGCTGACGGAAGGGGTGGCAGAGCGTTGCTGGACTCGCTGTGCTTGCGCTTCGACGTAGATTTGGCGGCAGCTTGTGCCGCCTGGGCATCTACATTAAGGCTCTTATCATCATCATCCGAGGCGGAATCTGGGTAATCCACCAGGGACATGGTGGGCTGGATCGCGTTGGTGAGGGATCATCGCAGCTGTCGTCACTCGTGGAGAGCACCAAGCGGCCGCCCCACTCCCAGCCTAGCGCATCCGCATGACGTATGGCTGCGATTGGGCCGCTCTTTTCAACAAGAGCGGACAAGAAGAAATCTGACGCAGGGCCGCGACTGCGAACCGATGACATGTACGCGTCCACGGTACCTGCCAAGTCAGGCCTTTATGTAGTTCGCTCTCCCTCCCGTCACCTGTTCACTCTTCGTATCCATCTATAGCACCTGACACTCGTCTGACCATCAAACTTCCACTGTGCAATCACTCCAACCTTCATACAGTCTCGCATTGCCAAAACATTAACCACAGAACCTAAACATCATGGACGCGGTAAGTTCGTCTTTCACTTATCCGGTTGCATGGCGATCCATATACTGTGCCTCGCACATGCGCCGGCACGCCTCACCCAATCCGTCTGACTTCAGTTCCGCGCAACCATCTGTTCCTGAATCTAAAAGCTGACCTGATAGGCCAAACATGCGCTGATCGATCCTTTGATCGAACCAGACCCAAGCGACGAGACTGGATTGAACAGCCACTTCCGTTCGACATTTGCGCCTGCAGCGCCCATCACACCACCCGGATCCGCTGGAGAATCCAAAGGCCACCCATCCGTTAGTGTTCAAAACACCGGCAGTTCAGTTGAGACCAATCCTTTCCGCCGCCATTCCAGGGCCTCGTCCGAGTCAAAGGGTGCTTCGGCATCAGTGTCGCAGGTTGGGCAGAGTACACCACAGAGTAAGAGGTATGACTACCCATCCCCTCCCAACTCTGCCAGCCCTAGACGCGCCCATTTCTCTGAGAACCACCGCGCGGAAATTTTTGGACCCATGAATGAACGCCGACCCCGACGATCCAGCGACCATGCGCCATCCGCCATGCACAAGAGCCTTCCTACTCGCGCCCGTGCAGGTTCACTGAAAGAGCGTTATCCTGGAGACAAGTCACACAGGCCACTTGACCAACTGCGTCATGATGAGAAAGTTGCTCACCGTGCTCCCCATCTTAGGAAAAAGAACTTTCAAGGCGCCGACGTCATCGACCGTCTTGACAAAGCAAGCTTTGGTCGGTACCACCACGAGGGCCCCTACGATGCCGCCAGTATCGCTCGCAACAGGGATACCAAGTACAGCCCTCTCGCGGCGGTTAAGAACTCGAACGAGGAGGCCCTGAGGGCTACCCCACGAGAGAACATTATCGATTCTGTACAAAGGCATCGTCCTCTGGAGGGTGTTGCTATAGTACCACCTGGCATGGCTGATCGTTTCGGAAGGGTTCTCGATTATGAAGAGGGAGCCGACCTGCAGCGAGAGCCTGGAGGTGACTACCGTCGTTGGCCTGGTGTCGTACGTACTCTTACTGGTTTTCTTTGCCCAAAGCCTTGCTAACAAAACATAGGAATACCACCCAGACGATCTCAAAGGCAAAGGCGAGCCTTCTTTCACCATCGAAAAGGCCCTGAAGGACCACAAGCGTCTCGGCGACACTGGTACTGAGATGACCTCCCGTAGCCATCGCACACGCAGCGTAGGTCATGCCGAAGCACCCGGTATCGTCCCATCCGTCGCTGCCGATCCGGAAGCATCCGGCGTCGGCCGCAGCAACACTACTGGCAGGAGTGTTGGTGGCGCAATCAGGAAGCGCATTGGCAGCATTCGTCGTCGCAAGCAAGAGGTTGAGGTCTAGGGGATTTCCCTGTTTCCGCGTCCGAAGCGATGCCCCGATGTTCCACACGCACACGCAACGGCATGATACCCCATCCCGTTTGAGTAATTCTCCAAAATTGTACAAATACGCATCGCTCCCTGGGGCGTGTTGAGCGTCTCTGTTTTCTTTTTGTCCCTAGGTTCAGATTAGCGCACACCTGACTCACGTCAGTGGTATATTTTATTTTGCGCTGCATATGGACTCGACTGTATGGTCGGAGTCGTGTACGATAACACAAGTAGTGGCTAACATATTACGAATAATGATACATATCCCAGAACGACCTTGCACCAATCTCTTGATTTTAGTTTCCTCTGAAGTCGGTAAGTTGTTTTGAACGTATGGATATTGTACTTAATGATTCTCTCCTATCCTCAACCTGCGCGAACAATGAGTGATATCCAATTACCCAACCACATATCCAATCAAAATGCCTACGCTAAAGACATTTCTCCCCAAACCTAGCGAACGTCCCACAAAACGCCATTGAAGTCCGACAACAACCAAACTCCACAATGCGCGCTGGAATATGCAACAAAGCGCAATGGAAAAGCGAACGAGTCAAGCAAAGACAGCCCCCAATACAACAAAGTGTACCAACCTATACGCCACAACATGCCCGCGTCACTGGTGAAGGAAAGAAGCCTCCTTTCCATCACATAAAACTCATCTTGACTTCCTTCTCTTGCCCAAAATCATCGTCAAACTCATCAGCCCAAGCATTATGACCTAGGTCTCCTGACGCACCACCCACGTTACCCGCGTATGATTCAGTTTTAGCAGAGCGCAAAGGCGGGCGTTCAGCAGGCGTAGGGTCATCCCAAGAAGGCTGAGCATCTGGGTTCCAAGGAGCGCTAGACGACCCGTTTTTACTGGGCGTTGCGGAGTCCCAAGGCGAAGAGGTACCGGAGCGACTCGAATGAGCAGGTAGAGGTGACAGGGGTAACGGTAATTTATTATTGGGGGTCGAGGCGGACGCTGGTGGATCGCGGAAAGAAGTGTCGAATGTCATTTCCATCTGACCCGCGCCGGGATCGTCGAACTCGTCGTACTCTTCGTATCGGCCGTTTGAAGAAGATGTCGTCTTTCTGGGATCTGTGGCTGAAACGCCTAGACTGTCGTTGTAACTCTTCGTTTCCCTAAGCGTAGAGTATGGACTTGTTGTCTGCGATGGCGAAACAGTTGCGATGTCGATTTTCATAGGCGGGAGTGTACTCTTGATTTCCTTGATCTCAAACTCGGCTTCGGCGTTATATTCTTTACTTTCTGCGGCCAGAGTTGCTACCTCCTTTCTTATGGCATCAATGTCGAACATGACCTGATTTTCTGCGAGTTTCGCCGGGTCTTGATCCTGGTCTAGTTTCCGATGGCCTGGGGGAACGGCATTCGAATTTTCATCATAGACTTCCCAGTCTTTCTTGTCCTTCTTCTTCTTCGACCACCAGCTCAGTTTACTGCCTCTCTTCTCCTTCTCTTGTGCCTTCTTTTCCAGTTCCCTTCGCGCTTCTTCAATTTCGTTAATAAGTTCGCGCTGCCGCACTTCGTGATTCTCAGGATCAGGGTCCTCGATTTCGGCGAACTCATCGGACTCAACTAGCCACCCGACTTCGCGCAGTAACTTGGGCATGGCAGCACGGTAGGCCATGTGGCCAGGGACCAATTCGGTAACGTTGACGTTTTCAATGGTTGGTATCTGAACGGGCGCAAGACCAGCTACGCGCATTACACCGCCACTGGTTGCGCGGAAAAGGTAGCCTATGCAGAGTATTAGTAGTAGAAAGGGGTAGCAGTGTACATGACATACCCAAGATCCAGTCGTTGGTGGCATACCCATTGACAAACCTTCCAGGTACAACAGATCTTGCCCTAACGTACTCATCATGCTTGGCTACGGCTGGTGTACCAAACATGTAGACGTTCTGCACAATTCCGAAAGCTCCTCGGTTCGCGAGTTCCTTTAGACATGAGAAAATGACTCTCGATCCCAGCGAAAAACCGACGAGAGTGACAGGTCTTGTGCCAAGATTGCGATCGATGAGGGAATCTGCAAGAATCAATCCAGCCATATCTGCTCTGGCCTGCGAAACGATCCACGGATTATCAATCAGATAAGAGAGCTTAGTCAAAGCCAGGGGGAGTGTCATGGCGGCCATGAGGGCTGTGAGGATGGTACTTCCCAGTACTTGTTGGAGACCTTGTGTGAGAGCCTAGCATGGTCAATGAATACCTTTTGAATTGCATGTATAAACTCACTTCAGTGGCAAGAATGTTGATTGTGTCACCCATGCTCCTGAGCATCTCTGGCTCCCACAGCACGGAATATATGTCTCCCATGATGGGGTCCACAGTACTGTACGGTAAGCGGACGTCATCCACCTTGCCGTTCATCCAGCCCGCCAACGTAATGATGAGATGGGTCCTCTTGTTGTTGTGAAGCGGTCGATACTCGAACGTCTTGACAGCACCTGTTCGTCTGTTCATGGCGCGCACACCAACAGTACTGCCTGTAACTACACCAGTCGATGTAATGATAGCGGCACCTCCGGCACCTGCCAGGAAACTACTCGTGCCTGCTACTCCGATAGTCGTGAAACCCGCAGCGAGACCAGCACCAATGACCGGAGCCAACAGGCCGGCAGATAAACCGATGACGAGCCCACCACCAACAGTCGCAAGACCCATGAATGCCAATCGCTTATTGCGCGCCCGCTTAGCTCGGTTGACCATGTGCTCATCCTCATTCCAGTTCTCCTTATCTGCCTGTTCTTGCATCTCCAAAGCGTCTGTAACACGCTTCTCGAAGCGGCAGCTTTCCAGCCAGTCTACACTGAGATACTTTCCAACCTGCTCAAACAACTCTCTTGAACGTGAGTCGTAAACAGAATCAGCGATGAGCACCAAAAACAGGTCGCACAAGACGGTCCATCGCAGATCAATGTCTAGATTTTTGCTGGTCGGGAGTTGGGATGGTGATCTAACTTCTGGATAATCAAAATCGTCATCTTGATGTTCTTGATATGGCGGCGGGGGTGGTGTTTGTAGGTCGTCTTGCGAATCCGTTGTCGATACTCTCTTCGATTGTAGCTCCTTTACGGGCGATTCAGGGCGCGGCGATGATACAGACGGCCTGGCAGAGTCGGATTCATTTGCCGTCTCTGCGTCCTCCGCTGCCGGGTTCTTCACTCGAGCATTCTGCATCAATGCTGGCGTAAGATCTGCTGGAACAACGCCATGTTCAGACAACTGCTCGATCATGATTTGCTCAGAAGCATTGATATCCATGTGGCCATAGATTTTGACCATGATTTTCTGTGCCCACATCTTTGTTGTGCCTGACTGTAGCTCAAGCAGCTTTTTCATTTTCTTGTTATTTGTCTGGAAGTTTGAAAACTTGCGTTCCATTTCCACCATGGCCAAGCGTACCAGTCCAACATATGCGACGCGCTGTCCTTCAGTAAGGAGGTTCTTTGTCGCCTGCATTTGCGAGAGCGGATCCCGACCCTCCTCGTCCTCATCAGCTAGTGCAGTACTTCTCTCCTTGAACAGGTAGGCGGTGTTGTCGTCCATGCTCGTCTGCGAGTCGGCATCGTCGTCCATGATTACTCTGGTGTATCCTTTGGCAGCACCTCCGACGTTGCCATAGCCGTGCATGTCTTCCAGTTCTTCCGTGTTTTCCCTCGCAATGAGCCTGTTGTCGTCGTCGTACATGTCGTATCGCGCGTATGCCGGCATCGTCTGCCATTCGCCGTCGTCGTCGTCTTCTTCCTTCTTGTCCTTGACTTCCCTCTGCGATTGTATGACTGCATGCTGATGTGAATACTCGGATATAGTCGGGACGCTCGCGACGCTTGTTTGGAGGCGGTGTGAAGGTGCTGTATTCATGCTTGTGGGTGTTTCGGTGGCTTCGGAAGGCTTTGTAGTCTCTGGTGTATCCTGCTTCGTCTCTACTGGCTTGTCCTCGGGTGGCTTTGGGTCGGCCTTCTCCAAGGGCTCCTTTACCTGCCCATTGACATGTGGCAGCGCATCGCTTTCTGTTTCAGCACCCTCAGGAACGGTCTCTGGAAGCTTTGTTTGTGTATCATCCGCCTTGACCTGTTCCTTTTCCTGGCTCGCAATCGCGACCTTGTCCGGGCTCGTGGGCGTGGAAGCTACGGCGTCCTCAAACTGCTCCCCCTCGGAATCCGAACTGTCTTGGACGGGCGTACGCGGCCTCCGCTTCCTGATCGGCAAACCAAAATCATCGTACTCAATCGCTTCATTATGCTCCTTCTTCACCTCCGCGGTCTCGGCATTATTTCCCTCATTCTTGGGGGCCTCGGCGGGGTTCTCGCTCATACTGGTGGGGACTACCGTGAGAAACGCATGGAGAGACAGGTTCGCAGTCGTATCAAGAGGAAAACGCGCAGGGAGCCGCCGTAGGAAAGAATTCAACTATCTGTCCGAGAATATACAAGCAGGCGTGCAATGCCCAGAGGCGGATTTACCAAAGCGGAGAGCAGCGGTACAAGCCGCAGATGTCGGATACCACGGTAGCGTGGCACGCGTGGCTGGTGCGCTAGATTCCGCCCTTGGCTCGAACTTTTGGCCGCATCCAACTTTTTTCCCCGCGAACAATCAACTGCTCCAACACACAGAGTCGCAATGAAGTTAAAGCGCGCCAAGGTAACCAACTCCAGTCTCTCACAGCCACCTGAACAATTTACTCATCCCAGGATAGGCGTACAAGAAGCAGCTCCATCAATACGAACTCAACTTCGGCTTCCGCGAACCCTATCAAGTCCTGCTTGATTCACAGATCCTCGAAGATGCCTACTCGTGCAAGATCGACCTCCTCGCGCGACTGCAAAAACTGCTTGGCGCGCAAGTGAAGCCCATGATCACGACTTGCGACATGCGACACCTCTACAACGCAGAACCGAAGAACGAGACCCTCATATTACAAGCCAAAGAGTACGAGCGCCGGCGGTGCAACCACCAAG